TAATAATAATAATAATAATAATAATAATAATAATAATAATCAGCATACAAATGAAAAGGATACCCTTGAACTATATCTCCCGCTTTATACGAATTCGCACAGGTAAGTGTAATTTTACAAATACGTTTTGTTCTATTTAAGGCTAACAAATCGTGGGAAATACCCATCAAGACATAATAGGTAGAAGAACAAGCAACTCACCAAATATATCTTTTTGGCGATTTCATCCTCAAAAGCTGTACAATCATATTTTTATACATAAGTTTACGTAGTCGCAATTATTACTGTATTTGACATCATGACGAAGGAGATTAAAGGTGATATGAAAGTTTGGTGTGAATATAAACTACAAGGGGCTTAGAAGGAAAATTACATAGGATGAGGAAATAGTTGGGTAATATATAAAATAGTTTTTAACAAAAACACGTGTGACTATGACGGACATAGAAACAGACTGAAATAATGGGTTTCATAGCTAAAGATGAAAGAGTGAACGGAATGAAAAAAAAATTGACAGCTTAGAGGTCAAACATAACTGGATTCATTGTAAATGTAGAGGTTGCAGTCCAGTGCCAAAGAGACTTAGTGGCAGATATCTTAAAGAGGATAATCTCTATTTCCCCAAACAGAACCTTTACTGCAGCAACACTTCAGGCGATATTCTCTAGTCGGCCACTGCTTCTAAAGAAACAGCTAGGTTTTTAGACCACGTAGAGAGTGTATTGATCCTATCTTCACCCTTCGACAGATTCTAAAACATAGGCATACCTACTGGCGTCCAGCAATCGTAAGCGGAATTCGATTCCGTCGACCTAAAAGTACTATGGCGGTTTGACTGTGAAGGGAATGCCAGGAAAATATATCGTACTGACCAGGGCACTTTACTCAAATCCATGCAGTCAGACAGATGAGAACCTGCGGAGAGTTGTCATCTGAAGTGGTGACAACCAGTGGCATCCGTCAGGGATGTCCACTGTCCGCACTTCTGTTTAGTTTCATCATTAATGGACCTAGTCCTTACTGACTTCGGTGACTCAGGCAATAGTCTCGTTGACTAAAAATATTTGGATGATAAAGTCCTTCTAGGTGAATACACCGACAAAACGCAGAGTTTTCCGAACACCTTGAGAAGCAGCAATCTTCGAATGTTTGGCATGCGACTTTTCTTCTATATTACTATTCTTTTTTCCCCTCATACTTCTGTTTATTATCTATCTCTTGAATCTCCCTTTACTCTCTTCTCTTGCTTTGTGTGCTACATGAGTGTGGCAAGTAGAACTGCTGCACATCTGTGTGAAGTTCTATGTTGAAAGTAGTTAGTCTAAAGCTATTCAAGGGACAAACTGCCACATATGACCAATCGACTGTGCGTATACCTATTCGCCCGATCCTGTAGATCTAGGTACATGGGTCGTTCTACGGGCTTTCTTTGAAAACATGCTAGGAAACACTACCCAGCATGACTGAAGTGTTTCAGTCAGAAGTGCTATAACTGACATCGCTCGGAACAGGTTGGATTCGGAAAAAAAACAAGTCATGTACAGATCAAATGGCACCATTACGCACCAACATCAAACAGAGCCTAGAATAGTAGTAGTCAACTCTTTACTTCATATTCATCGACCTTGGAAAGGCCTTCAAATGCGAAGCGATTTGGAAAGTGCTTCAACAATACGAAGTGCAGTATCGCGAACGTTTATAAACTTGATTCAATAACAATACGATGATGTCACATAACGAGTGATTCGCAATAGTAGGCCTTTGAAGTAAAGACAGGTGTAAAACAAAGCTGCCTCCAATCACCGATGACATTTTCGATAGTGGAGGATTGGGTCATGCGACATACAGTGAGTGGGGAGCGAGAAGACATACATATACTGGACTGATAAAAGGACCCCAGAATATCTGGATTTCATAGATGATTAATGTTTCGTGTCTCAAAAACTAGATTTACAAGCGAAAACCAACAAGTTTGCAGAAGAGGCAGAGAAGGTAGAACTTCAGATGAATATAAAGAAGACAGAGGTAGTGAAGGCACGCAAACAATAACAACAACAAGCACCAATCACCACTAGTGGGAGGAATCTTACCTACCCACACAGCATAGTTCCAAATAAATGCTGCGTGGATGAAAATATCAAAGCCAGTCAGGATTGGATAGGAAAAGCAAGACAGGTGTTCATTACTCTGAAATCGGTATTGAAGTCTGCAGCACTCAACATAAGGAACAAGATTCAGATTTTCAACGCCAATGTCAAGTCAATTATTTTGTATGGTTTAGAGACTTTGATGATGGCGTCAAGAAAAGCATCTCCAACAGCTGCCTTTGCTCAATATCGAGGATCAAACGTCCGGTAAGGATGAGTAACAAGGAACTTTGGTAACACCCAACAAATATGCAGGAGGAGACAGAGATAGGTTGGATACACTGTAAAGTGACCGTTGAATGACATCATACATCAGGCTGCCTCTGAATAAGAAACAACGAGTTAGACGTATGTGTGAGGGTGAAATGGAGATCTTGTGAAAAGGATATAAAAGCTTGCGGGTAGTCATAGAGACGACTGAAAACATTAGAGAATCGAATGGAACGGAGGTGTGTTTCTGAAGCCCTATGTTTCACTTGCATCCACTTTATTGTCTTCCAAACGGTCGGTTTTCGACATAGAACTTTGCACATATGTGTGCCAGTTCAAGTCGCCACACTCCATGTAGCACACAAAGCAAGAGAATAAAGTAGGAGAAATGTATAATATAGACAGTCAACAGAGGTGTGAGACAAAGGTATAGTATAGTGTGTTTCACACTTCTTTGTACTACAGAAGCCCTCGCCATATGTGTCGACAAGCCGGAAGTGTGTTCAGAAGAAACTAGTACAACCTCTATATTCACCTTGAATCTAGTTCTGTTTAGCTTCTTACCTATCAGGTTCCTTCTTTTTTTTAATCTTCAGTTTTAAAGAAAATATTATTCCAATCTGTTTCTATACTCATCTTGTTCACACCTGTCTTTGTTAAAAACTATTTCACATATTATGCAACTGTTTTCTAATCCAATATAAAATTTTGTTTCTATGGCCCCTGTGATTAATATTCAAACTTTTTATCTTTCATACCAAGTTGATAATTATTACCACCATTCATTACTATGTTGAATTAAATAATAATTGTTACTATGTGAACGTATATATATAAAAATGCGATTGTACGGCTTGTGGATGAAATCACACTGAATAAGTATCTTTTCTGAGCTTCTTGTTTTTTCCTGTTTAACTGCTGTTGAGCTAAGAAACTTTATCGTTCCCAGTTATTCATGAGCACTTTTGTGATAGATATTAAAGCGATTGTTTGAGAATACAGCAGGATGGTGGAGAGAACGTTACACTCAGCAAAATCAACTGTACATTAGAAGAATGAACGAATAACTACAACTGTCAACCTATCAAGCTTCATTTAACTCGAGAGTTTCCGATATTTGATTTTCTAAAAAAGCCTTCTTGTATCTTCGTCGGTAGCATGGCGGTTAAGACGCTCACCGACCATGCACATGGTCCGGGGTTCGATCCCCGGCCGACGCACTCCTTTACCTCGCTAAGCCAGAAATAATGCTAGTGAAGAGGAAAGGTTGGGCATGAGTCTAGCAACCCCATCCTGTAAAGTAAACACTGCTACAAAAACTTCAAGCCACAAGCTTGAAGCTCTATGTTCCACTGGGGAACGTGAAGGAAAAAAAAATTATCTTCGTTATTCTAGTACTACTAGAGTTTTCTTACCAAGTTATAATTGACTCACACATATATATGCAGTGAGTATATTAGGTCTTTGCATCTCTGCCCTCTTCTTTGAAAGTATTTCAAACTGAAATTCACCTAAATAGTTACTAGGAGGTCGAACTTTGATTTTGTTCAAAGTTTGCATTAAGTTTCCATTTTATGTACTATGTAATGAGTAATAACATATTTTGAGAAGGTTTCTCCCTGGATTTTATGAAACAGTCGTATAGAGATCTGTATACTTTGTAGGAATCCCGTTTTCTTACAATGTCGTAGTATTTAGAAGAAAATTAGTCGTTCATCAAACTGACATTTGCTTAATGCGACTGAAGTCATTCTTCTAACAGGATGTTAGCTACACTATTCCAAAGTACGTAAGGATCGTGCGGAGATTCTGAATATGATAAGTCACTTGCCCATATGTATCCCTGTGGCTCTTATTCATCTTTTCAAGATGTACAATCGTTTGCTTTCCGTCGGATTATACAATACTCCTGTAGTAGACAACAGTGTTTTGCCCTACCGTTTACGGATGTAATGTTTACCTGTAATGCAAGGTATGAAATATTTTGTTGTAGAATAGTAATTTCTTTCGCATTAGTCTTTAATTCGATTGACACTTACTTAGCTTTACAATATTAGTTAATTTTAAAAAAAATCTACTTTTCAGCATTCAAGCTTCCTGACAATCAAGCGAATGAATGTCTCTATTTTGCCATTTTCAAATGACCGGTGAAAACACGTCACATATGTGTGCTTTAAAAACGCTTGTGTAAATAAACTTGATTCAATGCTCATTCACAATTTCACTTTTTCAGCAATTCATCTTGATAAACCACGATACACAAAATTTGTACAATCATGAGTGAAATTATGAAACGAATGACTTGCTTTCACTTTTTATTCTGTGTTGTTGTTTTTCATAGTTATATTTTGAGTTATTTTTTTCGGAAAATAAGATCTAGCATGTTCTATGCAGTCTACTTCAACTATTTCATGAACACTGAGTTACCTCCCCCCCCCCAAGTTTGATGGTACTACCTTGACTCCCTTGACTGAAGTAGGCAAGCCAACCTTGATTTACTTGATTTCAGCAATCATTCAAATGTATGCGTAAAATAACCACCCACTATGATGTTATGCCTGCTAATCACAATGCGATAAGTGGTTTAGTTTCGGTAACGATCATCTCATCATCCAATATGAAGTCAAATAGAAATCCAAAGGTTTGCCTTCTTTAAAATCAAGGTTTTAAGTCGCTCATATATAAACAAGTTGGATGTACAAGTAACGCATTCTCAAATGCGACACAATAAATGATTACAACAAAACGAAATGCTTAATTTGCGATGCTTCCTGTACAAATAAAACAAATAAGCTTATTGTTCCATGCTTTCATCAAACACTTGATCCACATCCAAATGAATAACCTCACTATTGTATTGATCATCTTTATTGGATACCTTGGTATTACTACTGTTAACCTGTATATTACTCGTGTCTGTTTGTGCCTTTGTCTTAGGCGAACCGATTCGATTGTCATTGCTATCAGTCATTGGAGATTGATTAGCGGCACTGTTTGGACTATAGTTTTGATCGTCACTTAAGACAGTTTTCTTGCCGTTGATTTCTTTTCCAATAGTAGACCATAGGATCGGTTTTGGAGCAGGGACAGGCATTGGGACTGGTTTTTGCGATGAATTGTCTTTTTCTATCTCCTCGAACTTATCATGGAGCCACTTTTTCGATGTTAAATCGGAACGCGACGGGCGTGATCGGGATGGTGAGGGTGAAAGGCGACGGGATCGACGATCTCGTTGATAGCCTACAGCCGAAATTATTAAAAAGGTGATATCTTTATGAGACTAGTGGCAATAGAACTTGGTATAAATTTTACTCTTAAAAAAAATAACGAAGAAATCACATACATGGAGATTACAACAACAACAACATAGTGGTTCCTGCTTCAAACGTACTTTTGCCAGCAGAATATGTGACTGGAATTATTTATTCCTACTGCGTCAACACAAAGTATTATAACAAATGTTCCATGTGCTTCAGCAGATTTAACTAGAACCAGTTAAACATGTATAAAATACCACTGAACAATACATAGCCAGTCAATCGTTTACCAACTACAATTTGTTGCATACCAGCCATATCTCAAAGTTTACGATAACAACGATATTCTAATAAGCATACTTAGTGGGAGCAAGCAGTTTTCGGAAATCGTAACCACATATAAAATACCCATCATATATCAGCATTCAAAGGCATCGCCAGCAAAGATGTTGGGCATGTGTAGTACATGTCATAGCTAAGTCAGCTCCACAATCTCACGAAATGACTTCCGCTCCTTATCCTACATTCTGGGTGGAAATCTAAATATGTTTGGCACGCACACATATCGCCCTAACTTGGATTAACAGAAAGATAAGAAGGAAGGCTGTATGATGTATCACAAATGTAGTAATTGACGATGTTATGTCGGGCTTAATGTACACGTTTCTGATGAAATCTCATAATGAGTAGAAAAGGCTAGTTAGTTATAAATCCTTCCGATTGCGTTACGCATATTTGTCGATTGTGGGACAAGGCCAGTGAGACTAGTAATTATAGATAGATTACAGGTTTCTAATTATATATCTTTTTATCCTAATCTAATATTACACAGATCAACACGATAATGAAGAGACTCCACGTAAAGGCTTAGGAAAGGATAGGAAGTCGATCGATGAAGTTGCGAAACTCCTTCTGCTGATCTGCCTAGTGCATTCCCCGAGAAACAATATTTGCTGCAATGGGACTAGGTATTATAAGATGTCTTAATCTGAAACATGATTTCAATTCATGCAGTCTGTCTGGGTGATGTAAAAAGGGGGGACTGACTACGATGGAGATTCTCCGGATGGTTGAAGTCAGTAGTTAGAGACTAGTAGGCATGCATTTTCTTACCATCAACGAAATTGTGAATACTTTCACTCATTATTTTCATCACTACACCCAAGTTTGTCAATGCTATCGATATAAGGTCAGTATGATGTTTACGAGAATAGTAATTCGCACTAATATAAGTATAAAACTTGGGCACTGTGGTAGAGCATAACTCCATTATGGATAAGATTTTAGTTTGATAAATCACACAGTGTTGTACAGTTATATTAACTGATGACGTTTTGAGCATAAACTATCGCTCATAATCATATCAATTCGAACTTTTTACGAGTTGATCACGGATTGATATCAGTTGGAGAACCATTGAAAACCAGGGAGTACTGGACAGCTGCTGTTTCATCCTAGTTTGGGAACCATCGGCAGTGCGCACCCACTGGGATTCGAACCCAGGACCTTCCGGTTACAAGGCAAGCTCGTATACCATTCAGCCACTGGGACTTGATTCAATGGCTCATGAATTCTAACTTTAATTCGAACTAATAATGTACTTTTACGCAAAGGTCTACACTAATTAGTGTCAGTAACTCAAAAATATAGGTTATCTAGGATGAAAGCCGTAGTTTCAGCAAATATTACTACTAAATGAATAGATGTATACTTACTGGAAGAATATAAACGATCGGATCGAGAATTGTTCAATCGGCGTCTCGTTCCATATCCATCGTCTGCTCTATCGTCATGCTTCACACATGGCGAAAGAAAAAAGTAAAGTTCAATTTATTGAGAAGATATATTTTATATTACAACGAACACTGCAGCTAGATTTTCACATGATGAAATTCTATAATACTTTGTGCAAAAAAACAAATTAATGGCGGCAGCACATCTCCAATACTCGCTAGAGTAAAAATGCTACAGATAAGTAAAGACTTTACTCGTCTAATAATAATTCCATGAATTTATTAGGCTGATTTTTATGATCTCTGTTGAGGGAACGAACAACCACCTATGTCCAGCATTCTACGCCCGTTATTCATTAATATAACCTCCACGGCATATGCACCACACCAAGAAAGACGATGTTTTCTCGTTTGGCTTAATAACCAAAATGCATACCGAATAGATGGGCTATAAATATATGGCTTAAAATTATACGATCATAACAGCAATATTTAATTATATGAATAACACTTTAAAGTACTTAGAAAAGTCCTGGGCATTTTGAATACAATATTTGCTAATTCTAAAAAATACACGTAGGTTTTCCTACAGGCTGAAAAGTAAAGTTTAACTTACAAAACGATTATAGCCATAAAAAAAATCTAATTCTGAATGTTTCCGTATAGTTTCAAAAAAGCAATTAAAACAATAAGAACTTACGAGATAATAGGATTGACCTCTCGGAGTTTCTGAAGGATCCAAGGGATAAGCTTTAATTAAACAGAGTAGCAATACTTAACCATGTCCAACATAAAAACAGGAAACTTATATCATTCAGGAAAAAAAATACACAACGCTAGTGTTCTTCAATCGTGCAATGGACTGTAGGAGTCAGTAAGACAAGATCTCGCATCTGACCACTTCTATGTGCGCATATCCATTCGCCTAGTCCTGTGATGTCAAGTGGTATTACCACCCTAACAACTTATTGCTTCTGAAGACTGTAAAGTTGTTACTCAACAATCAGGTTGACTTCGAACTCCTCTGATCTTCGCAAATCATTATAACAGAATTTTTCGAAACATCCTCCAATAAATACACTAGTCCTCTTGATTAGGGTTGCCAAATATTTAGGGGAAGTCATGTCAAAGAATGACTTCCATTGTTAGAGTCTTTGATAGTTGGTTTGAACCACATGAAGAGGCAAAGACTACCTCTTTAGGCTCGTCCAGATGCTAAGATCCAATGGTTGGAAAATGTTGGTGAAATGGCTCAAAATCGTTCTGAATAGCACAGATGCATTTACTCTCTTTAAACTCTCAGTTTCATAAAATCCTCAAATTATTCTTTCTCCTTTGGATTTTCTCCTCACTTATGTGTGCTAAATGGAATATGGCAACTTAAACTGCTGTACAAAGTCCCGTCTTCGAAATCCAATCCTTTTGCCCGACCGATAGCTGCTACCTCGACGTGGTGGTTGGGCTTGCATATCGCAGTGACCCAACAAGCTACACTGACTGGAACTATTGTTCCTACAGGTTCTGCCATGCCAGGAAGGTTGTTAGGATAGCGATTAGACTAAAAGCAATTACCGGCTCAGTGTAAAAAATTTTTTGTACATTATGCTAGGGTTCTGTGGGCGAAGTCGTAATGCTGGGGAACAGGGATGTAACAGCATTGAGGTGTTTTCCTCAGATGACCAGAACGCCGGCTGTCTCTCCCCTCTGGAAAGAGCGGGTTAGAAAAGGTCGACTTCAACAACTGTACATCCCGACTTACCCTACGGTGGTCCGTAATTGGCGGTAAATTCACTAATGCAGAACCAATCCAAAAAACCACTTCATACAGGCCGTGTGTGACCGACCTCAAGCAGTTGTCTCCACGGTCACGCAACACTAACCCTCTTTCTGTTTCAGGTAGCTGAAGAATCAACCAACTTCCACGGTGTCGGCAGCTGGGAAGTAACAACCGCCCAAACACTTCCAAAAGCACACGAAGTTAATCCTTTTGATGAATACAATAAACCCTTAGAGTATTGAAATGCCTCACAGCTGGTAAATTTAATCTGGCATCAGATACAATTACACTAAATGGACTACTGCATAACAGTTATCTGTAAAAGATTAATTTTAATAGTCTCATAAAAACTCCATACACAGATTCATGCTTTTTTGCTGTAGAATGGAATTTACTTTTTTAAAATAGCTTACTACCTGCTTATTTATATTCATATGTTCGTTTGAACTCAATTACCCGAAACGCATCATTCATGTATCAGACTAAGAATTAAACTTTATTGAGTGGGACTTGGTGATACCACCTGATTGTCCCAGACTGAGGTTAGTGGAGTGGAAATCGAGCCCATTCATACAAGTGAACAATATGACTTATTTCCGAAAAATAGGTGTCGTTAAAAAAAATCTGTAACGAAAATTAGTACAGCGATGCTGTACAACAGCTGACTTCACACAGTGATAACCGCAGGATCAAAAGTTGTATGATAGCTATAGAGATATGGGGGGTTTAAATTCAGCCTAATAACATTGAAGAAATAATTTGTGGGAAGAATGAGTAACTATACTACTTACTACGCTTTGAATCCATTAAGCGTTCATCAACACGACTGCCATAAAATCGACCAGGACCTGTAAAATGACTTATGTCATGATACTCACTTTCTCGTTTGGTTTCCGAATGATTGGATTTTCTGACCTCATTAGAAAGAAAGGGAGAGAGAAAGAAATGTCCACATGTACTCAAGAAAACTGAGAATTCAGTAGGGGGAAGAATCAAATTTTGCCTTTCATAATCTTTCAACACATAATAGGATCTATCTCGAACTTTTAAATATAAAAATATTCGTAAAAATGTTCAAAGACATTACATGAATAATGATCTCATGTAATGGCTTATATGCATTCCCAAAAAGCAATGTGAGAAATACTTCGGCTATCCTACTCCTAGGATTTATCAATATATACACACGTACATCATATCACATATCTCTGTTGAAATGTCGCCTCCTGGTACGAACTCTTCGACGAAGTCTGACGATTATTTGGTGGGTGGTGACTACCTGCGGAATCAAGGGTGCGTATTGAATAATAACTGTTAGGATGGACAATGTTCGCTGTGAAGTCATGATTTATGTATGTACTGGCATGATAACCTTACTAGACAGTTTTAATTCGTTGATTAATGGCTTCATTTTCTGAGGGACGTCGAAGTCATACAACCAATCACATTTGTTTTGTCTACGGTTTAAACTCCTGAGGGTTTATAAACATAATATACCACATATTTTGTCTCATAAAGGTTGTCGTTTTTGTGTATCTCGGTGTGAGAGATATTTTCAAGTGATCAATTGGTCATAGTATCGTGTTCTGTAGGCGCATTCTAGTCAAGTTAGACGAACCCATGACCCAGTAGCACGCCATCGCGAGAATAACTGATACCTGTTACAAAAGTGATGGCTTTCATGGTCAGATTGGTCAAATGGATAATGCTTTCGGCGTCTGAAACGACGGATGCTGGGTTCTAGTGACAGTGGGAACATCATCACTCTCACTAGAGATGGCAGATACATCCATTTAACCAGTTCCAAATAGGACGAAATACGCTAGTCACCATCCACCGAATAACAGAAGACAATTCCCTTGGTAAAATGGAGGGGTAATCAATTTAAAACATACGCTACTTACTTCTTCTTGCTGTCACACAAAGTAAAAACAAACAACAGTATGGAAATTTTAAACTTACTCAACTAACAATAAAAAAGACTAATTCGCGAAGTATATCGGTCATGAAATAAAAGTTTAGAAATCGGATTTTCCAGAAATATGATCAAAACTTCATTTTGGATAAAAAATTTTATTAAGTCTCACAGTGTTATACAGTAACATTTACTGATGATGTTTTGAGCACAATTATTGCTCGTAATCATATCAAGGTATTTTAGGAATTCAGTAATGCCCCACATCTACTGCCTTTGGATTCCAAGGCAAAATATATAGACAAACAGAAGGTGTAGCAATGGGACCACCAATATCCCCTATAGTAGCAGATATATTTATGGACAGCTGGGAAAATATTGCTCTTAGTAAATTTAATCCCACTCCACAAAAGTATGGTGGAGATATGTGGATGACATTTTCACAGTGTTAAAAAACAGAACATATCTCTAGTTTCTCGACACACATAAACTCACTAGTAAAGGGAATAAAGTTCACATTTGAATCGGAAAATGAACAAGGAGAATTAGCTATGTTAGATTGTAAAATAAAACGAATAGAAGAAGGTAAAGTGCACACTAGTGTTTATAAGAAGCCAACGCATTCTAATAGGCATTTAGACTTTAATTCACCTCATCCGTTATCTATAAAGGTAGGCTTAGTTAAGTGTCTAACAAACCGAGCAGTAGCACAAGAAAAGACCTAAGTGATGAAATGAAACAGATAGAAGAGGGGTTGGTGTCAAATAACTATCCTATAAAATCCATTAGGAAGATCAAAAGAGGTCAAAAGCAAAATGAAAATAATGGAGAAACTAATAATGATAACATAAATAATAGAGAATGTAAGGCATCTACAGTTTTACCATATAAGGAGGGGACATCTGAGACCCTACGTAGGATTCTAAATAAACCAGGAATTAGAGTGCCATTTAAACCTACAAACTCACTCAGGGACAAGCTCTGTAGGTTAAAGGACCCAGTTGACCCGATTAGACAAAATTATATAATTTACAAAATACCTTGCAATGACTCAGTTATGTCAACTACACAGGTCAAACTAGTAGATTGGGAGTAACCAAACTGTCAAAACATAAGAATTTAGCTAAGGTTAGAATGAGAAGTAATTTTAAAAACAGTCCAGCGATTTCACTACCTGTATTAACATACGACCACACAATAGTGTGGGAGAGAGTTAAAATACTAAGGGGTTAATTAGATTCCCGGTTCAAATTCTAGGTACGATTAGTTGAAAGTTGACCGTTTAACTCGAAAGTCAGATAGCCTCCTCCCCCCAAAAAAACACACACGAGAATAACTATAAACATAAAAGATATATATCACAATGAATTTGTTAACACAAGATAACATACCGTGAACTTGCAGATGAAATTGTATCTGCTAAACGTTTGTATATGAGAGCTTCATCAGCTACAGTGTTGTAAAATTTGATCTAGATTTTTTTTTAAATAGAAATTCGAAAAGAAAAATAACTAGGAATTTAAATAATAACAATCTTAAAACGGTTCTACATGAAATCAGAAAGATAAGATTACACACCAACACGAAATGGTAGTCAATTCTGCAAGAAGAATCATACAATTCTTAGGAACAAAAAATTATTGTATGCACGTTAGTGACATGATTTTGAACAGCTGTGCATAACGTGTTTACAAAAGCATATTCAATTTTATTTCTCAGAAGTTCATACACATGTAGCTAGTGCGATGCAACTGGGTTCAAAGAATCTCCAGATCACCCAATAAGTAGTGGAGAAAGTTGATCTTTTAACTGTTATTGAAAATACAACTAGCAGACAACTGTGATTAAAACTTTGTTTTCCCCGAAATTCTGAATGCTTTATCACTGTACATTATTTTCTAGTTAATTTTTCAATTACTGCGTCGGTGGCACAGCGGCTAGGACTCTCGCCGATCATGCTCATGGTCCGGGGTTCGACTCCCTTGCCAACGCACACCTGATGTCAATGGTCGGCCTGCAGACATTTGAGCTACTGATATCACATGCTGAAAATTCCATACTTGCACCAAAAATACTGTGTGGAATCCAGCTATGATAAAAAAATACTATCACATTCTTTTCCATGTCTTCTGTCATTTGAAATATGCTTCACATTTGACGTTAAGTGATATTACATTTCGCTTTTCATACAAGAATTCCCTTTTATAAATTTGAACAGAAAAACAACAAACATCGGCGTAGAATAACATAGATCCGTTTTGTTTCGTTCTCATCAGCTGCATGCAACCTGTAATATTTAATAAATAACATACTATTGTCTATCAACAAGCATATTGTAAGAGTGTCATGGTGCAGCCGATGAGAACCAAGGAAACAAAATGGATCCACTTTATTCTGCATCATTGCGTTGTTCTTTCTCTGCTCTAATTTGCTTTTCATCAGATACATTTTTTCGGATATAACGCACAACGGATGGAGCATTTTTCTGCATTTCCGGGATGATTGCTGCATAATCTCTATTACACACATCGGGTGTTAATACAATGAACCAAGACCCATCTATTAACCTTCCTCTCTTTTTTCATCTTTTTTAATGCGTCCATCCCTATAATGCCCTACTATATGACCGTATACGACTGCATACATTGAGACGATAGAGATTTTTCTAGACTACATATCTTCTCGGTGAGGCGTATTATCTTAAATCCAGCTGAAGTCCTACATTCTAATAGTTTAACTGATGGCGATAGACTAGTCCGAAGTATACTTCATCTCATAACTATTGAACCATGTTTTTTAAAATGAGTATTTTCGTCTATAGGAGTCGATGACATCCTCCTAAAGCAGACATAATGTGTATTTAAAGTTATCTAATATTTATTCCTCATAATCATATCAAGTTACTAACACAACTTTCTGACCCCGTCTATATAATTGCATTATTTCTCACCTCTTGACTTGAGTCGTATCACCAGCCATCGGTCCTTAACATCCAGAGGATCCCACCCACGTCAATTTACACCTCACTAAATGGTTCAAACCAACTATCAAAGATATCATGGACTGATTCCAGTTTTCGATTTATTCACCCATAATCATCTTCCAACCTAATCTTATGTAGGCTAACAGTGATCACTGAAGAAGGCGATGGCTCGGCATGCACAACACGTGTCCTAGCCATCTTAATCGATTCACCTCATTAACTTCATCGATCAACTTACCCTCTATGCCTAAGCCCAATATTACTTACCATATCAAACCACTTAACCCGGAGGATACAGTCTGTCTGTCTGGATTCAACATAGAACTTGGCACCGAAGTGCACCAGTTCGAGTTGCCACGTTCCAAATAGCACACAAAGGTAGACAAGAAGATGAGTAAAGAGAATCAATAGAGTTTTGACAAGTATAAGAGTGGAACAGAATGAGTAATGGTAGAAAGGAGTATGAAAGATTACAAAGACTGAATACATCTGCGCCACTGACAACGATTTTGAGCCATGTCGCCTATTGTCTCCAGCCATTGATTCTTAGAGTCCCGAGGGCGGGCCCCAAACCGGAAGTCTGCATCTCCCTCCCTACCTGACTCAGTTTAACTGTCAAGAATTTCATGGATTGATGCCATGTTTTTGTTTGGCCACCACTTACTCTTTTCCAACCTGCATCTATTTCAGCTAGTAATGCCCGTCCGTCGGGGGAGGAGATGGTTAGGCATGCGCAGCACGTCACCTAGCCATCTCAATCTATGTAACTTTATAGCCTCTTCGACTGATTTTCCCTCTTTGCCCAACACTCTACGCCTAACGTCAACATTACTTACCTTATTATACCACCTAACGCGAGAAAGAGATTGTAAACATCTGTGGTCAAAAACAGACAATCTTTTCATGTCTTCCGCTCTCAATGGCCACGTGTCACCGCCATAGAGAAGGACGGAGCGAACTGATGAGCAGTACACACATCCCTTGGTTGATAGCCGGATGTCACGCCTACGCCAGAGACAGTGTAAGTTAGCGAAAGAAGCCCTAGCTTTTTGGATCCGTGTTGAGATTTCGTCACCAATCAGTCCGTTGGTGCTGATACAACTTCCCAAATAGGTGAAGTGGTCAACATTTTCTATCACTTCACTCCCTACTACTAAGCTAGGAGTTGACGTAGTCCAGTCCTGTAGCAGCATCTTACATTTTACAGGAGTGAATCGCATGCCAAACATACGAAGATTGCTGCTCAAGGTGTTCAGAAGACTCTGCATTCTGTCAGCATCCTCCCCTAACAGGACTATGTCATCTGCACATTCTAAGTCCATAAGACTATACCCTGGTAACAAGTCGATTCCTAAGTCGTTAAGTTCAGTTAAGGATACTTCCATTAGCATATCTATGATGAAGTTGAACAGAAATGGGGAAAGTGGACATCCCTGACGGACACCACTGGTTGTTATCAATTCAGATGACAATTCCCCATAAGCCGTTACACAGCTACGTGAGTTTGAGTAGAGTGCCTTGATTAGTGCAATGTACTTTCTTGGCACTCCCTTCACAGTCAAACATTGCCATAGTACCTTTCGATCCACGGAGTCGAAGGCCGCCTTCAAGTCAAGAAATATGGCAATTGTACCCGGAGGATAGAATACAAACAATTGTGGTTACGGACAGCTAGTCTTTTTATATCTTCCTGAATTGCTCTAAAAGTTACTATGTACAATGAAGTCCGTAGCTTCGGGAAACAGTATTACAAAGATGACATGTTGCGTTTTATGACAGTCTAGACAACCAATTAATGAACTAGTGACACTGATGTGTGTGAAACACCATCATATACTAATAATCTCGACAGCACCTGAGGGACAATAATATTCTATCTAATCGTTTCATACATGCATGATACAATTATGCTGACGCCAGAATGAAAAGTACCTCTGCATTTACACTGGTTGTCCGTTTTACCTACATTTTTCCATATTACACTATTCTTTTAGTATATAAATAATAAGAATCGAACAAAATATTATTAATTTCATGTGACAGACAGTTTAAGAAACCCTGCATTGATCATATAGTTAGTGTTATAAATAACCGAAGCAGTTGTACATCCCCGTAGGTTTTATTACATGTCTTGATTAAATTTATAACGCGTTAAACCCATTGTGATAATCAAACAATTAAAAACTAGACTCTGTGAAAGTCAATCACTTTGGTCTACTAGAGTAAAACACCTCAGTCACATGTTACCACCTAAGTAAACAGATGATCAACTTCCTTTCGGTGCATATTTCAGCTATATGGCACTAAAAACAAAACATGATATACACTTTACAGTTCTTTACGAAAACCCAACCGACTGCATGTTCATCGTATATAAATAAGATGAAGAATAACTCAACATTCCACTTAATTTGGAACTCATCGGCAGTACGTAATCACCGGGTTTCGAACTCAGGGCATTGTAGTTACAAGTAAATTCGGCTATCGACCAAAGGGTAGGTGTACTGCTCAGCAGTCCGCTCCGTCCTCCTTTATGGCTGTGATACCTGGCCATTGAAAGTGGAAGACATGAAAAGCCCAGTTAGCTGTCTTTGATCATAGGTGCCTGCGTTCTATCTCCTATGTTAGGTGGTATGATGAGGTGAGCAATATTGAGGTTAGGCGTCGATCGAGTGCTACGTAAGGAGGGGAAATCAATCGACGAGACTGTGGAATTACATCTACTGAGATGGTTAGGACATGTGTTACGTATGCATGCCTAGGCATCGCCTTCCTCGACAATGGGCAATGTTAGGTGATATAGGGTCAGGCTGGAAAAGAGCTAGCAGCGGTCAAACTAACATGGCATCAGTCAATGAAATCTACAACAGTAAATCTGAGCCACGTAGGTAGGTGTAGACTTCCTTGTGACTTATAATTTCGAATGATACTATATCGTTCTTCGTTACTACTACTCCTTTTGTCTCACACCTCAACTTACTGTCTCTATTGTGCATTTCTTCTACTTTCTTCGCTTGCTTTGTGTGCTACATGGAGTGTGGCGACTTGAACTGCCGCACATCGGTGCAAAGTTCTATGTCGAAAACAGACAGACAGTTACAAGTCAAGTGAGTAGATCATTCAACCAGCTAGTCTATGAGTTCTAACTTTTACCAATTTGTGATTTTAGCGAGACAACCAGCCAATGTCATCGGCGAGTATTTGTCTTCAACCGGGACCGAGTGGACCTTACTGGTGACGACATCTCACTAGGACTCCAGACAATTTTGTCCTGCAGTCAGTCACACTACTAGCGAGCATCATAGTAAATTTCAGGAGTTTGTTTCTAGGGAGCTGATTTGTTTTAAGTTTGACCAGATATTCTAACCTACATAGGGAGAGAATAGTGTTCAACTTAATCCTTTGCAGTCAGCTCGATATTTGCCAAATCTGTAACTTTCCCTTATATTTATAAGATAGTTCGTAAGATAAGAAGCAAGTGGCAGTATTTACTACATTCTACACTGTTATATTTCAAAGGAATTAGGCATTTCGAGAGGATATCATCAACAAAAATTGAAGCGAATGTGAAACAATCCGTAAGGATGTGAAGTGATTAGTATGATGAATCGACATTTGTACATCGACAGTTTTGTGAAAAATTGCTCCGCTAATTTAAGCACTTGACTATCAACTAATGGGTTCTGGGTTCGAGTGTCGCTTCATTTATCTGGGCGACCTAGCAGTATCATCAACTCTCGGACAATGACTGTGTGTTCTGAATAGCCGATTCCTAAACAAATAAGTTTTATTACGATTAGTTTCTACTCATCACATAAAGCGATATTATACAAAACAACTTACTCCAGGAAGATCAAAAACAGCTTTATGACCTTCGTTCGGACGACGTGGTATTTTCACTTCACTAATCCGAACATCAAATGTTTCGGACTTTTCCAAATGTGATAAATTCACATCTATTGAGAGTAAAAATTACATAATAAGAACTTCAATTAATTGAAAGCAGAAAAGATACAAAGAAAGTATATACAATTTTGTGGCAGAAAATGACTTAATCAGATTTGCAGGTTGAGAAAATTTCCAAAACGAGTAAACCGACCTAAAACCTTGAATAGATGGGTGTCGTGGAAACACAATCTACTAAATGGCATACAGAAATCAATAATGCATCGGGTCAGTAGTTATTATAGAGAAATTCGCCAATCTGGATCACTAATGGCAGCGTCGGAATGTTAATCTAGTTGCCGAATGTGGTATTTTCGAATCTTCGGTGCAGGTAGTTTTGCTTTATGTCTGTGAAACCTGGCCATTACGAACTGAAGATATGCAGTAGGTTTGTCCGAACAGCTAACTTGCAGTCGATAATGATGCTAAGAAATAGATTCTCAACTTCGAAGGCGTGTGCTTGTACACAATGGAGACTGTTTTACTCTGGTGATATTGTTCTGGGACACAGACACCGGCGACTTGCAGCGTAAGTCACGAATGTCATTCCAGAAGCTCCCAAACTCCTCACTGTTTTTCCACCTGTAGAAATGCTAAGAGAAAGTGTAAATAGTCAGCCCACGATGTGGTATCGCGAGACGGACGATAGCTGTGCCAAGTGCACTAGGACTTCATGACTGAGCTCTGATAGAACATAAGACTTAGTGGGTTGGTGCATTATCATCAGATATTGCTCAAAAGTGAGAGTAACAGCGAATAGGGTGTAGTTTCTTTTTTCTCTTATTACCAAAATTAAGGCATGTAATGGAGACTCCCTACACTTGAAAAGCTACCCATAGCTATTTTATTTTGATACTTCCTAACTGCTTTTATCTTTATATTGGTCGTTCAGTTAAACTGTATGGCACATTGTGGTGCTTGCACTGAACCACATTTGTGTTACAATAAATCAGCAAAATAATTTGGGGAGCATCAAAAACCAACGTGACAAAAGTGCTGATCTAGGCAGTGCACATTCACCCTGACATTAAACTTACTTGGTTATTTCGAAGTTGTCATTCTTGAGTTCCCATTAACTTTCAAATGCCTAGTGACCTTAGGATCTTAGATATTGTCAGTCAAGTAGATGATCCCTTTGTGGTTATCCTAGGAAGATATCCCCTTCTTAAACTAGTCTGATGAAACTATCTGTTTTGGATAAACCTTTAAATCCTAAGTGTTAAACAAGCTATTACTTCAATTAATCTACTCAAATAGTATTTTGTTCCCCATGAATTGGCTTAAAACGCCTACCAAAAGCTAAAAATCCACCGCTGTGCACAGCAGTATCGTGCAACTTGTTTCAGTGAACTCAATATACTTCTGTTTTGATTGACACTTGGGATGATTGACTGACTGGGTTTCAACATAGCACAGAAGTGCAGCAGTTCAAGTTGCCACACTCAATTTAGCAGACAGAGGGAGGCATAAAAAAGAAAGAAAGGATTCAAAAGTACTATAATAAGCAGAAATGTGAGGGAGAAAGAATAGTAACATGGAAAGACATTACGGTATAATGGATATGGGAAATCACAAAGAGTGAATACATTTTTGCCAGTGAGAACAATTCTGAATCATATCACGGATTGCCTCCAGCCGTTGATTCCTAGCAGCCCAGGGACGCCAGACAGGAAGGCGACACCTGCCTACGTGGCAATTAAGATTAGACAGCTACAACTGTTAACTAATTTCCACAGATTTCAAAAACTTTAGTGGGCAATGCTATTTAACCTATGGTCAACAGTAGTGAGAATTTTCCTAGCATTGCATGATTTAAAAATAAACTAAGAAATTATGTAGGTCAAAATGACGTAGTCATACAGAAGTACAGGCCTATAGTAATCTAGTGGTTTGGTTTATCGGTCGGTCGGTCGGTTTTCGACATAGAACTTTGCACTGATGTGCGGCAGTTCAAGTCGCCACACTCCATCCTTGCAGCACACAAAGCAAGAGAAGAAAGTAGGAGAAATGCATAATATAGACAGTTAACAGAGGTGTGAGACAAAGGAATAGAAACGAAGAACAAAACAGTTTAATTGGAAATCATAAGTCACAAGGAGTGGATGCATCTGCGCCAGGCAGTGAGAACGATTTCGAGCCATGTCATCAATTGTTTCCAACCAATGGTTTTTACCGTCCCGAGGACCCCAACCAGGAAGTCTACATCTTCCTACGTGGCTTAGACTAACTGTTGTGTTGGTTTATAACTACTTTTGATACAAGGTTATAATTCTGGAGTTATTATTGAATGTTTTAGTCCTTAAAAAGCCTCTCGAGTTCAATGAACTGAGCAAATAGTAGGACTCTTTACTCACAGATTGATATCTAAAGCTGTAAGTTGCATATAAACCAAAGTCTGTTTATCAATAAAATACCCCTACATGAACACTCGAAAATCTGGAATTTTAAAGTCAGCGGTTTTGTCAAAAGCCATCCGGAATGAAAATACAATAATTAGCTTATAAACCTAAGTAAGTTAAGCAGCTTTTCTATTTAAGAATAAAACCCAGCTAAAATAAGACTCACCAACTGGAAAAGTGCGTTCTATAACAATTGAGATTTCCTTTGCCTGACGCATTAGCGTGGCTGGAGGCAGTTTTGTATTATTAGTAAGTATAAGGTGTGGAAGACGATGGTTATCTCCAAAACGACCATACCTGCATTTATTGTATACAGCTGTCCCTGAATTAGTAAGTCGAGTAAAACGTTCTGTCAAAGTTATTGGTGAATGTGAACGACGTGTAGTAGTCCTTACACCTCCAGTCTGGAAATCTGTGATCGGATTTATACTTGATTGTATTTCAGGTTTCTTAAGTCTTGAGGACCTCGACTCTAAAAAAAATTTATATGATGAATTTGATAAAAATTGATGCTTACTTTGTTCAGCAGGGCTGACTGAGCGTCGAGGACTACAGTCGAATTTTTTTGAATGGGATCTCTCTCTACTCCTTTGGAAAAAAGATAAGAAACGGAAAATAATTAAATGTTATGTGATCTCTTAATTATTTGAGTAAGTTTATTGTACTTATTCTCCCAACGAAGAAACATAATGATCTGCATATCTGACAGTTTCTGCTCGACAAACACAGGAGTATACAAAATCCAAGCTAAAAGAAGTTAGCTCAAGGGACATAAACCCCCAGAAAGATAAGCTGACGTTGAGCTTAACTATGAGTGCATCTTTTAAACAACAATCTAAGCTAATTGCTGGGACACAGCATATTCACATGCACCCGATACCAACCGTAACTCTCGCCGTGAAACCGGCATTCTATGTTGTTAATTGAGATACGTTTTGATTGTCTTTCACAGAAAGGCGTACAGTTAAGTACCTTTCTTTACCGGAGGTTTGATGCTCAAATTAAACTCAACGGTCTCTGTCAGCGGGTTTAGGATTACAGTGAGGAGAAAACGAATGTTAGTCATAGAAAGACGTCGTAACAGCACATAAAAATGCTGATAATCGGTCAGCCTAATAACCAAGAGTAAACGGTTAAAAACCATAGCTATCATAATAAACCGATCAAGAATAAAGGAGTAAAGGCTCTTTCAGTAACCATGGAAATATGACAAAATCACCTCCCCGTGAAATGGCATTGAAGATGTTTAAACTGAAGTTGGACGAAATGCTCGAAAAATCCTAGCTCAGTAAACAACAAAACCATCATAACATACGTATAAGCTAAGTGAGATCACACTAATTGTAATAGACAAAAATTGAAATGATCATTATTCGTCACCTACCTTTCCCACATTGAAGAATAAGGTGCATAGCGTTCCTTGGATCTAAAATTTAAAAAAAAAGTAATGAACAAAAATAATAATAAAGTTGACACTCAAGAGCAGCAATCTTTGAAATACAAATAAAGAACAAATAGTGCACTGTATCGAAACAAGTTCATATCTTCGGACGAAACCAACAACGCGAAACGAGATTTTACCAAAAGTAAATAAAGGTGGAAAGTTTAAACATCATTGCTCAACAATTCCTTTTTAAGGAATCACATAAATATTAAATGAAAAGATGACGGTATTGCATATTTAGTAAAAGGAATTTAGGCAATCTATACAGTTCGGATAAATTCAAAAACATTCTACTATTACCTGTGAACGTCATATACAGTTAAAAGTAGCAAAGATTTCTCTTTACATCATGATTTACCATAGACACAGTAAAAGCATGAGTGACACTGAAATCTATACTATAGTCTGCACATGTCTAGGTTTCTGCAACTTGTCTTTCCCACCTTCTTTACTTAACTTTTGTAACACCTTATTATCATGAATGTAAAACGGCATTTCACTAGAAAATTTTTGGTAATCCGTTGGTCTAGAGATAGCTTTCATTATAAGTAAACACTAGCTAGGAAACCACTAACAACAAACGGGGACCAAACAGCTGTTTAAGCATTGATGAGAACCATTAGCACGAAAAATGCAGGAATTCGTTCAGGAATGGGCTCAAGAACGTCATATTTCAGGATGAGCACGTTATTTTCCAACAACTTCACTAAAATTCCATGAACTAATTTTTTAAACTTCGTTATACCTGTAACATAGGTGGCAAGCCTTATCTAGTGTCATCAATGAGTTTATATCTTCATAACCGACGTACTCGACCGTATAAATTGTATGCTGTTATAAAATCTTTAAAATGTCCATCTTGAAATTAATCACTAATGTACACTACATTGTTATGCAGTTAAGTGCAGTACAAACTGAATCATTTTTACGAACAGATAAGAACAAGACTTGCTACAGCTTAGTTATGAGCCTGAAGAGTACACCGTTAAGCATCACAAAATATAACCAAACCTATGACAACAAACTAAACGGAGATAAAGTGGAGGTAGAAAAACCTTTGCATGTCTAGTCCATGGTGTGCGGGGGGGGGGGGATTTAGACTACTTAACAAGTAACTTCTCAAAAATAATTCACAATCACTATCACTATTTTCATAAATCCACCTGAACTTTTCTAATTCACTGTAAACTGCAACCATGCAAGTAAAATTTAACGACGCCAGGTTCTGTGTCATTCACGCTGATAAACAAAAATTCAAAAGCTACTACTCCTGGGAGTTGACCCTTAGTAACCAGGGGAAACAATGTGGATACAAAGAAGTCAGTCAAGCTTTATACACTCCTCATTTTTGTTTCCATAACTACTCCCACCTGAAGTACAGCAGTGAGGAAAAAAGTTCTGTAGTCCTGGACATTTTAATGAGACAACTGTCGATAAACTGCGAGTAACCCTAGAAAAAAGTTAAGTGGTTTACGCTGACTATCGAAATTCATCTTCATGCAATTATTGTCAACTTTGCAGTAAGTCATAAAACAGAAAATGTATGAGATACGGGTAAGTCTATTACAAACATTCTTCATTTATGAACAAAATAAAGATAAGTCAAAAAAAAACTATAGCAGAAACATTAGGACAAGAACTTCTAAAACAGTAAAATGTCATTTAGAATGTTTCTAATACAACCAATACTATGTACCTACAAATAACGAACTTAATTACAAATTTTGTTTTAGGTCTAATAAGTCAAACTCCCCAAAAATGCCTTTCAAGTCGAGAAAGTAATGGAAAAGTTGCATATTAGATGGCTAAACTTCATTGGGAAAATTAATACAAAATGAGATACTATCGTTCACTCCTAAACACTGGTGATGAGTGGTCACGCATTCACTTTCCTCTTGAAAAATTAGCTGGAAATTGCAAGTAGTTGAGATTTACAAACGTGTTATTTAACGAAGACAGTCTACAAAATCGACAACTACCAGAGAGAATAATCGTTGTGACAATTTTAAACAATTACTGGTAAGAAATATTACTGACCTGGATCTATTTTTTCGTCTTGGGGAACCGAATCCAGATGACTTGGAACGAGAACGTGATGTATATGATCGCTTCCTTGAAATCATTGTTCAAGTCTGCATCTTTCAAGAAAAGAAAACCTGGTTAACTTGAGATGAAAACACTGATAATCGTATCTGAGTGAAAAACCCGAATCCCTCTGAAATAAATTAGTCACCAATTTTTGAATAAGAAGAAACTTGAAATCCATGACACCTTTTTTGAATATCTCCAGTAGATGTTGCAGTACTTAACATACGAGGAAAACAAAACTTAATCTTGAAAAAACTGACCACGACTCACATTACGACCTTGTCTAATATGAGGACAGGCTTAATGAGCACTAAATAACACTCCGATTAAGAAATGTACACTGTGACTCGGATAGTTCACAATACTGTGTTCTACAAGCGTACTACCTTGCACTACATATTTTGCAAATACCAGTCAGGTAGAAGTTAGCATGAAGAAATTAAAATAAAAGTGTAGTTGAACAGGATACAAATACCGTAACTGCCCAAAAATCTGTTCGGAAACAGCTCACGCGCATCAATGAAGCAGCTTAAAAGCTGACATGGCGAATACAGTTGATATACATGAAAGCGAATTGGATAGTTTCTAGTGATTGGCGTAAAACTCACTTTGAAGATACCTCATCAACGGTGGACATGTTGAATAATATTAATAATAATAAATAAATAAATAAGCCATGGCAATACATCCATAAGCTTATCCATATATAAAATAAGCTCTAGTGATAAAAATGAACGATTTTGTTTACAAATTTTTAACTAAGCGATTGTGCCAACCACTCTAAGGAACTTGATAGTTAAGTGTTTAATGCTGGATTTCAGGGAAAAAATGTTAGTATTGGGGTCTTCAGTGTGGAGAACTACGAAAATAAAGTGTGATTTGGGTTAAAGAAAACAAAACTTGATTAGAAGCAAAAATTGCACTCTGAGATAGGAAATAAAGACAGCAGAATGTGGGTTGCATATGATTGTCTACTTGATTTATATTATATACATATATATGAATTAGTCTACCGTAACGCATGCTGAAAAGGGGCTACAAACACTTCTGAAAATATGAACTAAGGCTGCAAAATGCTAAACAATTATTATCGTACACAAACATGCAGGACATAGAAAACAGAAGTAAATAACATGCCAAATATACATATATTTGTTCTATATATATCAAAGTTGAATCTGTGTTATTATTGACATAACAGCTTAGATTGTCTGGTGCATAGTTGAAAAAACTAAAATTATTTCGTGGATGAGGAAAAAATGATGTGTCTGTAAAAGCAAGCTGGAATGGATGAAAGAAACATAGTATATACTATTTTAGATAAAAATCGTTGCTGTAAACATGGCAGCGATGTGATTTATTAATTTTTAATGTGCGCGAAGCAACGGACGTGCACATTTCCCACTGGGATCTACAAATGAGCAAATATCACAGCGAGTTGCTCGACTACTTCTAGGAGCAGGGTTCGAACCACGGCAACTTAACAGTACTGGTGTAGATGGAACCAAACTTTCTGGGAAGGAAGATGACGGTCGTTTGTGTGAAAAAGAAAGTGGACGACAACGACCTGCAGCGACAGATGCACTACGAACATACACTGAAGATGGATATAATGGATATCTTTGAATGTACTCAGAAGTCCATGTATTCTCACGTTGCGGACCGTTATTACTAAGATCAGAATATGAAGCAGCCGAACCAGATAATCGGGATGTATTGACGGTCCCTACAGCTGATTGTCGCGGAACACGCACATATTTCTTGTCAGTTTTGCACACAGGGCTGGATTTATTTTTAGAAAGACGTGATTTTGGTGCAATAACTTCAGATGACATTTTGTAGTTTGATGAATTAATCTGATCCAAACCCATCAGCCTTTCTCTACGACGAATTCCAGCTCGAACGGCAGAGGGATAAACCTACGAAAATAATGGAATAGAGTAGAAGCAAGTGAAAGTTAAATACAGCTATCTAGTAAGTGCAAATTTAGAACCCAGAATCAACTAATGTCAGTAATATTGTTACGGGACATCGTACCAAAACGACTTACACACATTTATTACAGGACTAGTGAGTACTATGGCTGTCAGTTAAGCAGTCTATTCGCGGAGGAATGCAGAAGTTTTCTCCGCAACTTCCTATTAAATTGCTTTCAATATTTAGTGTCAATATCGATTTGCAATGGTATATATGCTCAACAATTACAATGAATTAATGCTGGATGTAATAGTGCATTGCCGAGTGCAATCCCAGTTCTCACCTGCAATAATATGGTTAGCAACCACAAATTTCTTTAAAGGTTCTACTTATTTATCCTTTAGACAATTTGAAAACATTTTGCACAGAATAGTGACGGTATACCGCTCCAGATAACTTACCTAATGAACCATGTCATTCCCAGGAAAGCTGAAAGATTATAACGAAATAAGGTTGTAAAGCTCACAACAGATCATGGAAGCAATTTACAAATTCTATAACCATTTACCTTAGCAAAGTAGATACGTTTATGCTGTTTGTATAAGATCCTCATAATACTAAAATTTAACGTTCGAGGACAATGGTTACATGTCCTAGTATAATTTTCATTGACGCAGTACATTAGTATTCTATTATTTTGGAAATTCTGAGGATAATCACTAATTTTATTTAATGATTCTCCTTACTTTTCCGACTTTATCCACTGTTGTGAAGCACTATAACTGGCATCGATGTACTTCCACAATTCTGCTTTAGTTTGTTTATCCGTACCTTAACTATATAAAACTGGGTGGTGAAAAGAAAAATTCTTGCTACGTGTTCTAAATTTCTAGAAGATAAAAGTAATCGATTTTTCAGGAGGTCATTTAGATTTCATTATAGAAGAATATCTAACAAGGCGAAATTTACAGTTCAAGCCTAGAAACACTAAGTCTTATTCGTTAAATAAGGCTTCTTGTATTGCATATTCAGGGATTCACAGATAGTCCTAAGGAATATGCCCTTAGCAGTATATTCATTAAGTACAATCTTCCAATACCTAACTAGCTTTAATAGTCCTCACTATGTAGACAAAAACCATCAGACACCAGGGGAAGTATTGAGAAAGTAAAGCTGTATCGGAATACTGGCCGCTTATAAGTGTATGCAATCAGAAACTACGATATATTAATCAAAGGATCGGCGGGTAAAGATTATACTGTGAACTCCCTTATAGAAAAAACCAGCACGAACAGCAACGGATTTACCAGTGCGATTGTTTTAGTGATGAGTAAGTATAAAAGACCAGTGGCAAACAAAATATGAGGGTGAAAACTAGTATTAGGGATGAACTACTGTTTTAATACTTTGCAGCAGAAAGATATGAGGGCATGCAGTCAAGTTACTTTGAGACTTTAATGATTGCACTGCTTAACAGTTTCAAGCCACTTCTACATTACATGTACGATGACTGGAATGTAATACAAACCCACCACTCTTGTACCTGCATACTGAGGAAATAACAACCTAGTTATAATGCTAATTTAAACAATACTCACTAAAAAATTCACTTAAATAAACTTAAACAACCGCTTACGTCTCTTTCGGACTTAACGTTAAATGTCCTCTTTACACCAGACGTCGGACCGGGTGAACCACCAATAGCATAAGGTACGAAAGCTTTGGGTTGCTCAATCGTCTTCTGGAGACACAGCCTCTGAGTTTGAATGCCAACTTCTTTCTTATTTTGGTTAATACTGCCTTCATCCACTTCCTGTCCATCACCTAGACAACGAAGTTGTGATGTCAGCAAACTCATTCAAACCTTCGTCTGTCACTGCGTCATCAGGATGATTGACAGGGCTGGTGAAGTAAATATAACCATAAACGCGAATGTGACATTACCCATCCACCGCAATTTCATCGTCTTTACTGTTTTCACTTGCATCGCATGAAATATTCCCAAGATGTGACACCTCAGGATCCCGTAGACGGAGATTTTCTAAGTCCTCCCACAAAAAAGGTTGGTGTGAGTATTCAGAGTTTCGCTTCTCGATTCTGAACTTCAGACGATCATAATACTCATCTCTAGCACTGTCTAAGTATGTATAAGACTTCCCGTATTCCGACAAGCTGTCAATTGACTTCATAGCCACCAACCACCGCGAAACTTGAATTTTGCGCGTAAATAAACGAGCTTTTTACTGATGCCGCTGATGAATTCCCGATCAACAATACTGGAATGTTTTCAAGAAATGCGTACAGTGAGTGTATACATGGCAGTATGAGGTTTTTAAAACTACAACTGTTTTCCTCTGGTTCAGTTGGTTTTCAGTGATAAGTTGGCAACCCACTTTTATATGTGCTCATAAGTTTAACGATGAACCCTAGAATTATTATTTATTGTTATTATTTTGATTATAGCTTGATGCCACACCGTATTTTTAGGTACAGGTATGGAATTTTCAGCATGTAGCCCAAATTTTTCAGGCCGACCATAGATATCGGGTGTGCGCCGGCAGGGGGTCGAACCCTGTACCATGTGCATGGTCGGCGAGAGTCCTAACCACTGTGCCACCGACGCACTGAAGTTTTCAGATTGAGTTTTTATTAGGAAGTATGTTGGAGTTAGATAAAAATCAAGGAGAAATTAGTATTTTCCCCATCAGAATGCCACCGAATTCATCGAAAACATCAACATTAACCAAAACAGACTCTGAATGCCAAGTTGTTTAAAGGTACTTATCATATTATTATTATTTCCGTGAGTTCCTGGGGCTTCATTGGAGCATGGTCCTAGGAACGCATGGCTTCAACAGCTAATCTTTATTTGGCCTTTCTCTCTGCAGTCCTCTTCAGCTGGTCTCAAAATTTTACATAAGCTTTCATCTCCTCATGCATTCTCCTCCGTGTTACCCTTTGACGCCGGACCCGTCGTCTCCCATCCCGGTTCCACTAGGGAGCCTAGTGCGTGATAATGCTCAATGGTCTCCTCAGTAAGTACCTGATCTGTCTTTATTGTATTCTGCATACGTGTTGATTATTCAGTTTCCGGAGTTCCTTGTTGCTAGTCATTTATGACCATCTGATGCTTTTCGTGACGCGTAAAGTTTCATGTCCGAATAGGACTGACTTGACACTGGTGTCAGAAGCCCACATTTTGTTGTTAAGGTTAGTTGCGGAACGTCTCCAGAGTGATTTCAAAGTGATGTATGTTTGTCTTGCCTTTTTTATTCTGGTTTTGGCATCCTCGTCCGTGCTGACCGCCTGCAGTTGAAACGATGCTATCTACATAAGTGAAGGAAGTGACCTCATTCAAATTTCTTCCGTAAATAGTGACTGGTACTCGTGGCTTTTTCTGGGTGGCTATCTCCATCATCCCTGAGTCATCGGTGTTCACTCCTGTCTTATCCTCGTGCCTCTTTTGACTTGTTGGTCTTCTCCAGAATGTCCTCAGATTTATGTGACATTGGACATAAATCATCCTCAAAGTCCATGTCTTCTTGCATCTTCTTATCAGTCCAACGTGTTCCTTTCTTTTTGCTCCCCATAGACAGACGGACAGACTAGTCCACTACGATGAGAAATACCACCGATGATAGTAGACAGCCTTGTCTTACTCATGTCTTCACTGCTTTGAACTGAAGATATGAGTCGGCCTGCGAAATTTGGGCTGCCGATATCCATGCTGAAAATGCCATACTTGTGCTGAAAATACGGTGTGGCATCAAGCTGTAATCAAAAAAATAATAAAGTGAACATACCTAACCAACAACGAAGAAAACGGCAAGCACCAGTCCCTATGAGCAGGAGAAATTTGGAAGGGCGCACACCTTTCGCTTATTTAGGCATCACCGTTTTAACAACATAGGGCACAGACGAGAATGTTGAAGGCAGGATTTGAAAGCAGGATGGAAATTTATTAATCTGGAATCAGTAAGGAAATCTACTACATTCAGTGCAAGGAAAAAGTTCGGTGTCTTCAACTATAATTCAAGTCACTGCCTATATATAAGGGTCAGAGATTAAGCTTGTAGGTCACCAAAAGCATTTCTAACTGTCTGTTGCGGACTTCCGTCAACATCCGCTTATGTTTTATACTGATGGGCAGAAAGACTACAAGCCAACCAAAAAATTTGCAGAAGGGTAAAGAAATGGATTGTGTACACGCCAAGGAGACCACTGAGGGATATCTCATACCAGACCCTCGAGTAGAACCCGAAGTGAAAATGACAAGCTGGGGGCGTCTGTGGATGACGTGGATGAGACTGAGTGGGTAGGAAATAAAGGCTTATGGGTAACCACAAAGTTGGAATAAAAAGATTGCTGAGGAGAGACTTAAATGTAGATTTGATCCTGTGGCCTTATGTTCCACTCTGAAACCAGGGGAATAGTTACACCGAACCAATTTTGTCCGCATATTTTAGCTCCAGGCTCATTTCGATGTTGTGCAAAGTCCAATCCATAGTTTTAACATTCTCTTTAACGAGTATGCGAATGTTCAGATATAATTACTGTTTAATTTTTACGTTATGTTACTCGTCAGACACACCACCAGCATCCTGAGCAATATCAGCCAAATGTGACAATTAAATTTTCCATAAAAACAATTGTGGCTTTCAACTGGCCTAACATATTGCCCACAAGAGTTTACTTCATTCATTCTTTTCGCTTCATATCTCTCTACCAGTACTCCCTAACAGCATCACTTGTCCAGCGTTAGGAAACACTGCAACCGCCAGGTTCTACAAATTCATTCTCCACTGTAAACAGCCAAGTTAGAGTAACCTGCCTTAGACTTTCGCCCAGCATGAATATGTACTTAATTTTCCTGTCCTTTAGATCGTCGGCTTATTTGCAGTTTGGTAAATATTTGGCTCTAACATCCTATCAAAAAGGGTTTAATCTCAGGTCTGCTAATAGGCGATCTACAAGAAGTATTGGGGAAAAATGTCATCTTCGACTAAAGACTAGCTAGATGATACTACATCCTGAATTCAAATTCTGTGAATACTGACCATCTATAAGGCAAATAAAACCCAGCCTAAATTTCCATTTCGATACACAATCACACCTCCGCCAATGTTGTAATGTGATCAGCTTCCATGATGATTTTGATCACTGCGATCTCTATTAGAAAGCCATCTCTCACCACGTGCATGTTTCAATATAAATCTGAGGTTACTTATCTGCCGACTTAGGTGATACCTACCGAACACCTGTTACTTTTGGATGGCAACCATGTGAACACCCAGTTACCACAAATAAACCATGTAATCAGAACATTCCAGTCCTACGTTCAACGTACTTCTCTGTCGAGTACAATATCAAGAATACCTATTGTCAGAAGACATTATCCTTCAGTCTTCTGTCGGCCAGGATAATCAAAGAAGAAAATGCACCAAATGAGAAGAACGTGGGCCTACTCGAGTCTTTTGTATGCTTTCGATGTCAATTTTCAAGGATCGAGGACTGTAGTGGGCTGGTTTCAGCACCCGACATTTTTCTTCCATCTGTCCATTTTCTCAGTTCAACAATGCGAGACCACAAAATAGTTATGAACAATGGAAATTTCAACCAGCAGAAGATAAGCGGTTTAATTTCAGAAATATATTTAATAATATATTGTCGTCACTGGTGTTTTCTTTCACCGTACAGTTTCTCAGGATATTCTTCTCTCCCTGAAGTGGCTTTTATTCAGGCGTGTGCATAGCACGTACCTGAATCTGGGTTGTTTTCTCGACTGCCTATAGTCACCATCAGGAAATGAAACGGAGCCTGGGTTGCCACTCAACCATAGTTACGGTCTTATTGAGGGAATTACAATTTAACATATACACGGACCAATTCTAACCGCTTCATTATGGATCAACTATTTAAATTACTGAAAAAGGGTATTGTATTAGCATTTCGCTATTGTGACTCATACCACCTTTGATCGTTCCTGTAAATACGACTTCCGTTTCATGTCAAATTATCTGTTTATACCAGACACAAATTGGTATTATCTTCAAATCAGCCTTTTTCCAGATCTTCTGTGTTGTGTTACTTCTGGCCTTCATATTGTGTTTGTTTGCCCTCCTTTCACGTCTTCTATGTAACTCCGCAACGCTGCATCATTTGTTTTCTCTGACATCAAACCTCTATCCGTGCTATTTAATGTTTTTATACCTATGAACCTCCCTTTATATACTGCTGACAAATCTCATTAATGACACACGCTTCAGTATCAGGCTTTACTTCCGAGAATTATTGGCCACTTGGGCTTGTAAAATGGGTGCCGCTAAGTAGAGATGGCTTAGTTAGACAAGTGGAGGTGAAGAAAACTGATGGGGGACTGGTAAGGAATATTGACGGGCTTCTCTCTTAGGAGCCAACGACAATAAAGCTTGTCGGTGAGGTAGCTAGGCGTACTGGTGTAAATCCTGATAACCAAGGACAGTATGTACTATTTAGGAGTATGTTTGCGTGTATACTGTGCAAGGGTTGCTCGTACAGGTATAGGGAGTGCACGTGATTTGGAAGAGAATTTCTTCTCTCTGTCTGGATTTTAAAGCTTCAGCATGTTATGCAGTCATTCACCTAGATGACCGACTATTACTGTGAATAATATTTCATTGTTTGGAAAAGAAATCAACTTTCTTTTGGCCGGGATTGTTAGGTCTAGTATTTCATCTTTAAATACTGAAGTTATACTCTATGTACCATTTTGCATTTTGTGCTAATTAGACCATATGTGGTTCATCGACCTGTTGTATACCTCTTGTTTGAATTGCAATTTTGTTAATTGAGAACAAATTTTGGGTTTAACTATTGTACTGTTTGTGTTTGGTTGCCTGATAACCTCGTATTTGAAGGCTTGCACCATGTTTATCTAATACATTTCGTTTAATGAAAAATGGTGTTGCAGTTACTCAACATTCTTTTATCAATATAATTCTTTTTGAGGGCCTTTGTTTTTGTTCTGGGTTTGGTCGAGTTTCTTCGAAACAACCCAGTCCTGTTTCGGTTTGCGCGAAGACCACAGGGTGTGTGAGGGCCATGTGGTCACGGTGATATGACTTGCAGGTAGTCAGTTAATTCATAGTAGATGATGGCGTTAGGCTAATATAATCTTTTCCAGAAAAGTTAAGATCTCGGCCCATAAGAATGCGGTGTAATTAATATAGCACTCTTTGCCAAGAGTTCTTAAGATGAAGTATTGCTTCACTCCCCGATTTAGAGTTTGTCAGTCAGTCATAGTCAAATAGCATTAAACTGACAGGATTCTAGAAACCGCGGAAGCACACTTCGTGCTTCACAACAAAAGATTAAGATTGTTGCGTCCTAAAACCTTCGAGCATTATTTCTGAAATAATCAGATTATAAATGTACTGGATACAGATGCTGTCAACCCACAGATCCTGAAGATGGTGCTGTTGCCAGAAGACCATCAGACGCAACTCGATATCAAAACTAGCAATCCCTAAACTGTTTATTGTAATCTTCAGTGGAAAGTGAACCATTGTGAGTATGCCAGGTCACTGAACATTCATTCACTATAAACAACATTGACACAGATTTTTCAGACGAAATTAAAGCACTAAAATATCATATGCCTAGACATACGGGGGAACTGATCATATATAATCTTTTTGCCGTCCACATCCGAAGTTAATTCACGACTGACATTAAATTGTTAACTATTTGTAGTCAAAGTTAGCACGTAACACTGCACACTGACTGGACACGCTCTCCTGGAGAGTCCACTAGGCTGTGAGTCTTACAGAGGTACTAAGTTCTTTGATCAGGCTGTTTTGACAGCTAAGTTTCTCGAATAACTGATGTAGTTGATATACTGCCGGTAGAATTGCTGTGTCCTTAAAGAACTTACAGGGTTACATTGTTCATATAATTCCATAAGCTCATTGCATATGCATTTGGAATGAAGTCATCGTGACTACTGCACACGTTCAAAATACATAAGAACTTCAGGGTCCAAGCACAGTGAAATATCGAAGAGTAGTTTTGCAGTGATTTCATCGGTTTCCTCTCAAATAAGGACGAAGAAGCTGTAACCTCCTTTGGCTTCTGTAAGTGAAGCCAGGTCATGATCCCAATTCAAGTCACAACGTAATATCCCTGGACAATATGTATACTTTGTTGTCCATGGTGTGAGATTGTCGCCAATATGCGAGTAAATTACAACGAAGACTCGAACTAATTGACTTCAACGACAGAGGCGAAACAAATGACCGAATAGTTCCATATAGAAATGTACTAACAACCAGAACACTGGAGACACTCTAAATATGTCCTACTAAAGAGATATATCGACCAATCGCGTTACTAGACTTCAGTTGTATGTAACGAGTACTATAATCTGCTTAGACGAATCAAGATAATTCTCGGCTGGCCTTAAGTAGAAATAACGCTCACGGCTGTTGTGCAGCCATATATCCTGTTAGATCCGAGCTTTAGTCACATTGCCTCCTGACACCCGAGCGTGGTTCATCTAACATGGTAGCCAGGCTGCTCTTAACACCTTTCGTCTGTTCAAGGGTGTATTTATTAACGATGGCATGAAGATTACATAGAGGTACACAATCACGTCCTGAAAGACAGCCATCATTGCAACGACAGAGGACAAGGGCCAGGCCACTCAACTCCACTGAACTGTTCGCAGTCGTGCCCGGTCAGCACACATAAACAAACAGACCAGTGAAAGAGAATTGGCTGAGATTCAGTTGGATTGACGGACTTCTTTGATCCCTTGCATGAGCTCTGGTTATCCAGCTTCCAAACACACATGCTGTAGTAACTGAACAAAATGAACGAAGGTTAATTTGCTTGCGACTTTGAATGAACGGTACGCTAAATTCCAAGATGAACAATACGATATATAAACTCACATACAAACTCAAATAATGTGCAGAGAGTAATACCAACTTATGGCAGAACACCCCTCGATGCAAAAACCGTAAAGTAGTCATTCCGTTGGGAGCATAAAGGTTCTATTAAACCATTTAATAGCCTGTATCTTCAATACTACGACACCATGAAGCATATCTGCAGGATGAACGGAAAGAAGGGTATTCTGTGATAGTCAACACAAAATTCATCACCAACATAAACGGAAACAGGGACTTTGTTGCTGTCTAACGCCAAGCCCAATACCTATACACCGTGATTAGGTGCATGACTCAATGTTTGTACCCATATAGGCAGCTGGGCAAAACTACTGAACTTGTTGATTTCCGAAAGGTGAAAACTCACCATAGTCACCTCTATATCCACAATGTAACAGGAAGTCTGAGAAAATAATTAGAATAAATGAGCATCAATTACAGAAAACGAACATGTTGCTTGGCTCACACAGTCAATGCGAATTCGGTACTTGTCGCGAGTCAGGGCAAACCATGGACAATTAGGCACTGTAGTTCATTTTATCAGTCACAATGAGGTTATGCATGTAAATGAGACAGTCCCCACTTTGCTTGTTACCACGGTCCGCACAGAAGAGAGTTCAGTTACCTGGGAGAAGATTCATGTATGGTATAGTTAATGGGCAAAACAGTTCCGTTATCAGTAACAGTATAGGTTTGCTTATTAAAAGTAAATCGAATAAACACTGCATCGTCATCCTGACTGGAAGCAGTATAATGCTGCTATTGAAAGCAACCTTATTGTATTGATGGATTAGCAGTATAGTGTTACTGAAAGATTTTGATGAACTTTTAAGAAAAAACAATAGATGTTTTCCCGTGCGATTAAATATGCAACTACCATGGTAACTGATCATTTTTCAAGGCAGGAGATGAAGGAAAAATAATTGGAAAGGAAGTTAAAGTATTGGTTTTGAAATTTGTTCGCGCGACTGTAGGCTGAATTAAACTTGGTGAACATGGATATTTTTTCCCTATACGCAGATTCTGGGTTGTAGTATTGATCGATTCACATTAATAACAAGGTTTTAACACACCGCATACTTTAAACAATATATAATTAATTCCGGCACTTTTGGGGTTGAACTAAGCCAAGGCAGTCGAGTGGCGGGCGAACTACGCAGAAGTTTACCGGAGACCGGGAACCTTTACCTCACAATCAAGAAGCTAGCACAAAGAAGTCAAATTAGTGTATAGTGGCTCGTAATAACCATATTGGATTTCGGTAACTGAAGTATCAATAGATGTGGTTCAAGAGTGAAAGTGGTCCTTACTTAATTAGCGATTACTTGCAGCTACTGTTTCATTTCCTCAATCGCCTGTCAGTCATGATGCAACTCTTCTAACAGTCAATGAGAAATTGAACCTTACGCGATGCCTGAATGAAGTTCTATGTGTATCTAATCAACATTACGCACTAGTGTAGATGGAAATCTTCTATGCGGAATTCATGAACCAGTATCACTGTCAGACTCAAACATACAAAGCACTTGGAAGAGTTCTTTTATAAGCAAATATAGGGTAGTGATATACTACAGTACGCCAACCGGTGTATTCCCAACCATTGATATTGCCGTATGCAGTTGACTCAGGTGCGGAAATCTTTTTATATAACTTTTGCAAACACAAACTCACACTTCTTAGGACCTCTCTCTTATCATAAATGCACGTGCCGAGTGCTATTCGGCCTTCATGCACCTCATTTCTTGCATTTATCACTGTTTGACCGTTTTTGTCAACCATCACCATCACAAGCTTAGTTCGTTTATGATTTGGCTGAGTTCCGCTTTCACCACCGTCTGTATATTAATTATAAGTAAAAGGTCAAAAAATAATTGACCGAAATTTCACGAAACCATTGCGACAGGCATTAGGATTTGATAAGACTATTTCTTCTGGATACTGAAATAATATAAAGCTGCATTCTTCTGGTTGCGATCTTGATAAACAGAATGGTCACTGAGACAGACTATTTTGCAATAGGCTTAAGTCTTACAAGCATTTCGGCCTTTCATCGTCTTCAGCTTATAAACTAGACTGGACCGTATCAACTTCTCAGTGCCCACATTTTCCCTAAAGATACGTATCAGAAAACAAGCTCATATTCGGACGCTAAGAAATTAAAATGGCTTTTATTGAAAGAAGTATTTGTTAATGGAAAAACTAACAAATTACATTCATCCATACTTCTTTGTTCTTCCAAATCTAATGGATTGTAAATCTTTATATAACTGGAGACATTGGATGCAAAAACTAATAACGAGTGCTTAGAATTAGTTATCTAGTGAGTAATTTTGTGCTAACCTTCTCTAGGTGGGCTTTCTGCTACTCAGTTAGGAATATTCCCTTGGAGTTACTGTCAGTAAGCATTGAATATTGAGTGCTCAGACTGAGTCGTTTTGATTTTCAAGGTCTCTTGGCTCATGAAAATGACTAATTCAGGTTAGCTGGGATTCTCGACTAAATTTCTAACACAGGTGAGTTTATCGGTTTGTTTTCGGTGCTTTAGTAAAATTCCGAGTCATTACCATATGTATCTGCTATACATTTCAAGTAGGATTTTATTCCTTGGTGTATAATCATTACCTGTTGCGATTTATCACAGTGCTTTATTATGGTGTAATGTACATTTAACAGTGAAAGACACGTTGGTGGCACTGAAGCTTTCTGCCCTTGCATGTTCTGCTTCCAGTCAAAATTTATATCCAGCAACAATTCATTGGTTTTGTGGTGTATAAACAGTATTTCTGTTAGGTGTTTTCCGGGCTATATTCAGAATTGGTTAAGAAGCCGTTTTAGAAATGGAAGAGTGAATAAGGTGTAAAACCCGTCAGGAATGCTTACTCAGAATCCTATCCCTTCCGGGAAACTGCTACCTATATTCTCGCAAATGTCCAAGTTTGAATGATATATGATGATGTGGTATTCGGTTAGTGCAGTCGGATTCATCCGTAGCATCGCCGAATCCTCATAGCCACATTTGTTGCCAATTACCTCATGAAATTACCAATAACTAGTTGAAATACACTGATATTTCCATGACAGTCGGACCATGTGTTGTGAAAAGTTAGCCGAACGGCTACGAAATTTAGGATAACATTGTTACTGGCTGGGAAAATCTGTAATCCAGAATATGGATATTTTAAATGATGCTTATCCTCAAGCTATCACCAGCAATGGTTTCCTGTAACATTTTGGTCGTCTTCGCTGTTTTCTTGTACTCTTGTCCATGAATTTGTCTTGTATTGGATTTCAGCACCGCGATTTATCCTCGGTGCCCGTGTTATTATCAGCTCTTCATAAATCCGGCTTATATTGTGATGCAAAATGTTCTTATATGAGTTTTAAATGGATGATATCCATTCATTACTCACTGGTGTATATCTGTTCAAGCTCTAAACTTTGTGGGTTAAAAGCACTTTATATTTCTAAATGCATACTGTTGTTTCCTGTGTTCTACAGTTAATTGATTGAGCCGTATGTGTCTTAATAAGAAGACCTGAAATGTTCATTTTTGCCTGCCCAATGAACTTTATTGAGCACTTATTGACAGAGTCTAACAACTAATGAATCAACGTGGAACTTCGCTCAGAAGTGCATTAATTCAGACTACTGTTACGAGAAAGTGTGAGTAATAATGGTGTTATAGCTAGAAAACGTGGGTTTAACGATGGTTATTACGTCTATATAGAATCAATATCAAAATGAATAACTACGTGTCCACCATTTTAAACACAATATAGGTTATAAAACATGAATGACACCATACTAATTCAAGTCTTAGGTTGCACTTTAAGTGAATTTTCAACTTTTTTTAAATGCCACGTTAAGGTTGTACTATTAGCTTGGAAATCGTTCATAAAAATATTTTGGCGCAAAACGTCCTGCATTAGAGGGACGAAACGGAACATAGTCCCGTTTTATAGCTGTAGAGTCATGTTATATATATATATATATATATATATATATATATATATATATATACATATATATATAAGACTTGGGCACTGGTAGTATGTAATTCCACATCAATTTGTGTACTAGATATATCACACAGTGAAACAGTATAAATAATATATATAGTAATTGATATAATTATGAACAATAAATTGTCAGAAACGTCATCCGGTGAATAATATTGTTTCACTGTGTGATATATCTAATAAGCAAATTAATGTGAAGTTTGAAGTAAGCTTCACAATGAAGCCTCCGCTGGTATATATATATGTAGGCGAAAGCTTTTTTTCTTTAAAATCTCATTAGTATTTCCAGTTTTAAGCTATAAAATAGACAATCGTTCTAAAGTTTAATTAGCATATTGTATTGCCTAACTTATTAGCACCACCTAGAATGAAAATATGATTGACATTCTTCATAGTCCTAATCTTGTTTTATTTTGTATTTATAATAATATTGCACACTTTGTCGTGTACTAAAATAATTTGCATTCGTTATGTAATAATTAGGCCTAAATGTTTTCGCTTTTGGTTTCCTCAGCTTGTTCTTTGAGCAATGAATTAACATTACCTCGTATATACTCAGCATAATATACAAAGCAAAATGGGGAATTTTTGTACATGCTGTGCCTGGAAGTCGCACGACAAGCCAATGGGTGAGACAAACGCCATGAATTATGGATCGGCTGTTCCCAATCATGTTGACCATATGGGGAAATCACAATCAGTTTATCAGTCTGAATATATCAAGGATGCTATATCTAGTTATCGCCCTGTATCCAATGATCCTCCACACATTAATAAGTCCCAGCCTTATCGTCGTCTGGATAATCGTGTTTCCAGAGCAATGCACAATGGAACTGCTCCGTTAGATATGCACGGGGGCAAAGATTTTTCCTACCGAGCACAAGGAGACTTTGGAATAAACAATGAACCTTCAGACTTTATGCTCTCCTCAATATATACTCAGTCAAGCACTTCAAATTTGCAACACATTTCTGAAAGAGAACCAGATGGTATGCCTATTAATTTACACCAAATTTTTTTTTGGTAAAAATAATACTTTAAATGTAATTCATGGAATTATTTTAAGAGTTAAAGCGAAATTGAGTAGCATTCCTATCATTATACTCCGAAATGTTAGCTTGCCTAATTTTATTCACTTTCACTAACCTGTTTGTGTATGTTTGAAGAATCTATCAAAATATAAGCTCCTAGGCTATTTAACAAATTGATTTGGGTTATTTATTTCATACCTAAATAGGCATATTTTGTTTTTTCCTTTTGTAACTTAGGAATCAAATAGCAGATAGCAGTTATAGTGAATCTGACAGGTTGGGATTGCAAAAATCATTTGTGATTCACACTTCCTGACTCATGAGCGTTGATCTCATCTTATCGGTCTACAGTATTGTGTAGTTTTGTTTGCTGTCCGGTGATTAATCTGTGTCAAATGTAAATTAGGAAACTGTACGATTGTTTGTAAGCATAATTCATGGTATTACTAAATGGTAGTTTACTTAGGCCAGCAGGTGTACCTTTGAATCAATCACTAACAATCAAATATTTGTACTTGCCAAAGTTAGTATTAGTCTTTAATTGACTCATATTAAACATTTCGTTGTTTATGCATATAGTTCTTTTTTATTTGTGAAATAAATTTAGATGCTGAAGCTGATCCATCTTTAAATCCAACTAAAAGGACCCTATTTATGCAACGTTCAAGCAAAGATATTGAGAAAAGTATGTTATTATTGAATGTTTTCCTGTTTTATCAAGTATTTGTTTTCTTGTTGTTGTAAACTATGAAGGTTTGACTGACTGACTGACTGAATTTCAACAAAGAACTTTGCACAGAAGTGCACCAGTTGAAGTCGCCACACTCCATGTAGCACACAAAGGTAGACAAATCAGGGGAAAAATAGATTAAAAAATTATTATAACTAAAATGAGCAGAAATGTGACGCAAGAAGATTAGTAACATGGAAAAACATGACAGTTTAATGATATGGGAAATCACAAAGAGTGAATGCATCTGTGCCATACAGGAAGATTTTGAACCATATCTCCAATAGTCTTCATCTGTTGGTTCTTAGAGTCCCGAGAACCCCAACCAGACAGCTTACACCTCCTTACATAGTTCACAGTAACTGTCAAAGATTTAATGGACTGATTCCAGGTTTTGGTTTGATCACCCCTAACTCTTTTACAACCTAATCCCATGTCGGCTAACATTGGTCATCAAGGAAGGTGATGGCTTGTAATATGCAATATATGTTCTAACCACCTTAACCGATGTAGCTTCACCGATTCATCGATTGACTTCTCTTCCTTACTCAACACTACTTTCTACTCACTATTATATACCAATTAACGCTGGATATAGAAAGCAAACATTTGTGATCGGAGACAACTAACGTCTTTATATCTTCCACTTTCAGTGGCGATATCTCACATACATAAAGGAAGATAGGGAGAACTGCTGTGCGATACACACACCCTTTGATCGAAACGTGGATATTACGTCTATGTCAGAGATGATGTAAGTTGGAAAATGCCACAGGAGTTTTTGTATCTGCACTGACATTTCACCAGCGACCATTCATTGGACTGATACAACTTCCCGAATAAGTGAAGTGGTCGACATGCTCAGTCACTTTATTCCCTATCTTTAAGCTAGGAGTCAATGTAGTCCAGTCATGTAACATCATCTTACATTGACAGGAGGATTCACATGCCAGACATCCGAAGATTTCTGTTCAAGGTGTTCAGAAGTCTCTGTATTTTGTCAGATCCTTCACCTACGAGGACAATATCATCCTCACATTCTATTCAACAAGACTTCCCTGTTACGCAGTCAATCTCTGAGTCGCTGAATTCACTCAGGGGCAATTCCGTTAGTACATCTATGATGAAATAAAACAAAAAATGGGAACAGTGGACATACCTGATGGACACCACTGATTGTTATCACTTCAGATGACAGCTGTCCGTAAGCTGTTACACAGCTGCGTGAATTCGAGTAGAGTGCTTTGATTAGTGTGATAAACTTTCTCGGCATTCCCTTCACGGCTAGACATTGTCACAGCACCTCCCGGTCGACGGGGTGAATTTTCTCATTGAGGTCAAGGAATACGGCAATCATTGGGCACCCGTAAATGTGCTTATGTCTCAAAATCTGTCGCAGGGTCAATATACCCTCCTCTTGGCTTAAAGTTTGCTTGCTTTTCTCAGGTTTGTTTCTCCCGAGCCCCACTTAGTCTTTGCACGATTATTGAGCCTAGAACTTTACATACTACATTATTCAAGCTTATCCTCCCATGATTATTACACAGAAAATGTTGAAAATCCTCTAACTCTTAACAGACTGCTGGTAATTATCTGATAAAGGTCCTCAATTATTCAACATCAGTGGTAATACACAAATACATTGCACTAATCAAGGCACTCTACTCAAACTCACGTAGCCGTGTAAGGGCTTATGGGGAACTGTCATCTAAATTGATAGCAATCAGTGGTGTCCGTCAAGGATGTCCACTTTCCCCATTTCTGTTTAACTTCATCATATATATGTTAATGGAAGTATCCTTAACTGAACTTAACGACTTAGGAATCGACTTGTTACCAGGGAACAGTCTTATGGACTTAGAATACGCAGATGACATAGTCCTGTTAGGGGAGGATGCTGACAAAATGCAGAGTCTTCTGAACACCTTGAGCAGCAATCTTCTCATGTTTGGCATGCGATTCGGCACAGTAAACTGTAAGATGCTGCTACAGGACTGGACTACGTCAACTCCTAGCTTAGTGATAGGGAGTGAAGTGATAGAACATGTTGACCACTTCACCTATTTGGGAAGTTGTATCAGCACCAACGGATTGATTGGTGACGAAATCTCAGCACGGATCCAAAAGGCTCGGGCTGCTTTCGCTAACTTACACCATCTCTGGAGAAGGCGTGACATCCGGCTATCAACCAAGGGACGTGTGTACTGCTCAGCAGTTCGCTCTGTCCTTCTCTATGGCGGTGAGACGTGGCCATTGAGAGCGGAAGACATGAAAAGATTGTCTGTTTTTGACCACAGATGTTTACGATCTCTCTCTCGCGTTAGGTGGCATAATAAGGTAAGTAATGTTGACGTTAGGCGTAGAGTGTTGGGTAAAGAGGGAAAATCAATCGAAGAGGCTATAAAGTTACGTAGATTGAGATGGCTAGGTCACGTGTTGCGCATGCCTAACCATCGCCTCCCCCGACGGGCATTACTAGCTGATATAGGTGGTGCAGGTTGGAAAAGAGTAAGTGGTGGCCAAACAAAAACATGGCCTCATCAATCCATGAAATCCTTGACAGTTAAACTGAGTCAGGTAGGGAGATGCAGACTTCCGGGTTGGGGCCCGCCCTCGGGACTCTAAGAATCCATCAATGGCTGGAGACAATAGGTGACATGGCTCAAAATCGTTGTCAATGGCTTGGCTTACGCAGATGTATTCAGTCTCTGTGATCTTTCACATTCCTTTCTACCATTACTCATTCTGTTTCACTCTTATACTTGTCAAAACTCTATTGATTCTCTTCACTCATTTTGTTGTCTACCTTTGTGTGCTATTTGGGACCTGGCAACTCGAACTGCTGCACTTCGGTGCCAAGTTCTACGTTGAATCCAGACATATAGACAGACAGACAATACACAAGCAACTAATTCCTATTCTTTTATAAAATCCTGGTTTGCTTATATTAATTTATTCACTTGTGACATGTGAGACAGAATAAGGAAAGTATTTATTGATACTGATAGCCGTTCAGAGGTTCACATAATTTCCTATCTCAGTTTCCTCGGTAATTCTAAAATGTAATGCTTAAAGAATACTAGATTAACCTATTTTCGGTGTCCAAAGGGAAATGAGAAATAATTTTGTCTGTCATTGTATAATTTACCTGTGATGTGTCTTGGAATATTGCTAAAACTGTAAAATTACATCGACTGAGATGGTTAGGACATGTGCTACGTATGCCTAGCCATCGCCTTCCTCGACAACAGGCAATGTTAGCTGATATAGGGTCAGGCTGGAAAAGAGCTAGCGGTGGTCAAACGAAAACATGGCACCAGTCAATGAAATCCACAACAGTTAGTTCAAGCCAGCCACGTAGGAAGATGTAGACTTCCTGGTTGGGGTCTTCGGGACGGTAAAAACCAATGGTTGGAAACAATTGGTGACATGGTTCAAAATCGTTCTCAGTGGCGCAGATGCATCCACTCCTTGTGACTTATGATTTCCAATGAAACTGTTTTGTTCTTCGTTATTACTATTCCTTTGTCTCACACCTCTGTTTACTGTCTATATTATGCATTTCTTCTACTTTCTTCTCTTGCTTTGTGTGCTACAAGGAGGGAGTGTGGCGACTTGAACTGGCGCACATATGTGCAAAGTTCTATGTCGAAAACCGACCGACCGACCGAAAACTGTAAATATCTCAGAAATACTTTATATTTATAATTTGGTGATACTTTTTCGGATTTTGTAGCTAGTTGATCAGTGATCGTAGGTTTTTTTCGCTTTGTAAAGTTTATTATTTCATGCAGCATATAATAAGTAATTTCATTAGAATATAGAGCCAATTGGAGTTAGTCAAGTCCAGAACTAATTGTAATCTCCTTAGGGACTGCCTAGTTAACCTTTTTTTTGCGAATATTCCTTCCCTAATTCCCTATCTCATTTTCCATTATCCAGTTAGTTTCATTGTGTGTTTTCGCATCTTTGTTTATCCATGAATTAAATGTGCAAAAATGGTCAACAACAAAAAAGTAATTTGCTTGTTACAATTTCCCAAGACGAAATTCTCTAGGTCATGAGTTTCTTCTACTTATTGATGTGCATCACATCATACAGGTTATCATTCAGTCACCGGTTTTCGTAACAAATGTGCGTTTTTAGTTCAAGATTAATTTAAATTAAATTAAATTTCTATCCGATATTGAAGCTGCAACATGTACCCGCATTTTTATTGCCTATCCTAGTATTGTTACTTGAGTAATTGCTATCAAAAAATCGATCAGATCATTGAGGTAACATTTATTGTCAGCATATATATTCACATCGTATTAGAAACTAGTGTATGTCATTGAACTAGTTTAGTATGAAAATGTGAACTAAAACTGTATATCAGTGAGGTGAAGAAGAGAGCATGAAACAGCTGATTGACTAATGACTACTACTATACATATTGAAAAATATCTTCAAGAAGAGGTTGATAATCAACGGGTGTTTGTATTAATTAAAATACAGTTTGTAGCTCTTTTCCCACCGAGAACCTCTTATTTTATTATTAGATAGGTAGGTAGACAGATAGAAAAGTTAACGTCAACCCCCCTGGAATAAAAAGTTGTTTCATATTGTCATACCGTAAATTTACAGACTGAATTCTATCAGTCGGGTTTGCAATGTGACCGTCAAGCTAGATGACTAGCCATCGCGGCGCACTTTGAATTGATGTTAGATGGTTGAGGAAACCCTGGACCTAGTCTTTGCGCTTGTCGGCAGTCGTCAGCTACTCGGGCTCAGTGGTAACGTCTTTGACTGAAGCACTAGATGACATGGGGTCGAATCTCAGAGGGGAAATCGACTGCATCAAGGTTGCAGATGCACCTTGCTGACAAGAGCCAACAAACACAAAATCTAGGGGCCCACAGCTTCGTGTCAATTGCCTCCAACCACCTAACATTCCATTCCGTTTGATGGATTGAGTTGATATTCCTGGGCTTATATCAAAAACCAGCAGTTATCCCCGTATACATTAATTTGCTAGTATTGCTTTTAGAGTCACTTTGTTGAATGTTCACTTGTTATATTAAAAATTAGTAATTATATTTGATTTTGAATGTGTGAATGGATTGCCCTATATAAGAACTTTTATATTTTAATTGCAGGAGTTCGTGAAATTCGGACTAAATATGATCGTAATGTGAGTTTATATTCATTGTCAGGAGCTTATTTTGTCATATTATCAATCTATTTTTTTTTTATCATACTCGTGGGTTTTTTCTCTAAACTGAACGCAAATTCAACTATCCGTGTACTGGATTTGCCTTTGGAAGTGAGACTTTTTCAAGAACTCTTTGTGTTTAAGAATTTCTTTTTATGAAAAAAATAAAAGACAAATTCAGCGAAAAAAGTTTTCTTTATCGACGAAGTCATCTTCAGAGGCCGTACAGTCGTATTTATACTTACCAAAATATATATAGTGGTCTATTATTGAGTAATAGGGGGTGACATAATTGAATAATTACTCGGAAGTGGCTTTAGAAGTGAAAGTTAAAAGTTGTAAATTACGTGACACTCAACTACCACCTTTATTCTCACTCAATAGCAATTTTAACCTTATCAAATTTCTATCTTTGTGCCGTTGAGTACCACGTAATTTACAACTTTTAATTTTTACTTCTAAAGCCACTTCCGAGTAATTATATCAATTATGTCACCCCCTATTACTCAATAATAGACCACTATACATTTTGCTAAGTATCAATACGACTGTATAGCCTCTGAAGATGATTTCATCGATAAAGAAAATTTTCTTCGCTGAATTCCTTTTTATTGCAGTTTCACTGTTTTAGTCTGCTTATATAGGTAATTTGAAAAAAAAATAATAGAACGACATTGTCAAATGTGTTTTAATACGTTCTGGTTCAGCACTAATTGCAACTTAGTTAGGATCTATAGGTTTGTACACAAGATGATCATCCGTGTTTACTGTGTACTGGCTGATGTTACTTGATTACTCAGGACTCAGTGATTAGAGTAAAGTCTGAAATCATTTCTATCTGGCTGAAATAAAGGTGGCCGCAATACTTTAGCTAAATATAAAGTTGGTGGATGGGTTTATCGCGCACGCCTGTAAGTTTTATGCATTGCTAACATGTCTTCTTAGATTCAGTGAATCAGTAGCTTAAGGAATTAACTCCCTTTTATTGTATCATTGAATTTGAAATCTATCCTATCTGTTTTAGCTTACAATATTTGTCCTAATGCCGCTAATACACCTTGAATTTTTCTACTTAAATGTTCGAAATTCATTGCTTACTAATGTGTACACTCGGTTCCCAACTGATAGTTTCCTAGTTCTAACCCCGGATTGTTTACTGAAATTTGGGTAGCCCAGTAGCTCCATCGGTCATCCTATTATATAGTAGGTTCGGCTCATTGCCGAATATATTGATATACATATTATTATTGAGTAATATTTCGTTGTTTGCTGAGAGACCTAGTTCAGATATACCTCTACGATAAATTGTCCTTGATTGTGTCGAATCACTTCTGTTTATTTAATTTCTTCACTTTCCTTGTTTATGATTACAAGTTTATGGGGGGACATGACTGAACGTTGTTTTCTGCTGCTGTTTTGTTGTGCTAATTTGACGTGCTATTCTGACTTGAACGTAAACCAGTAATTTTATAAGACAAGCAATTATCACTTAAGCAAACGGAAAAGAAGATTGTGTTTACCTGTCCCAATAATTCTAGCATTGGCAAGTTGACTTTTAATAGCGAAAACAGAAACAGTAGGACGTGTAAATGGTGGAGATACGGTAATTCTAGTACTGTAGCTAATAGGAAATTAGAAGCAAATGAATTAGAAGCTTGTAACAGTAACAAAGCCATATTTATAAACCAACGCCTGTCTTTTCTTTGTATGCTATATTTTTGTTTCTCATTCGCTGCTTCAGTAGTAGTGTAACGGTAGAAAACGAACGGACTTGATGACACCACTACTGAAGAAGATATGGAAAGAGTGCAATGTTACACAAGCTGATTGGAGGGAAGGCTACCTATTCAAACTGTCAAAGGAAGGAGACTTAAAATGGATCCACACAAAAAACTTGGAGGGCCTGAAATTCGCCGATGATGTGTGTCTGACTTCCCACAAAATGCAAGATGTGCAAGTGAAAAGCAACAAGTTGGCAGAAGGGGCATCCAGAGAACATAAACAAAACAGAGGTGATGAAGATTCCTGGACAACAACAACAACACACAACAATCAGCATAAACGCTATAAATCTGAAAGAAGCAACCTCTTTTACCTATCTGGGAAGCATCGTTTCAAATACAGGCGGAACTCACGAGGATTTCGAGGCGAGGATCGGGAAAGCAAGGCAAGCTTTCATTCCTCTCAAGTCTGTGTGGAGGTCAACAGCACTCAGTATGAAAAACAAGATCCGGATTTTCAACTCCAGTATGAAGTCAATGCCGCTATGCGGATCAGAGACTTGGCGCGTCACTAAGGGCACCTCAAACAAACTACAGACCTTCATCAACAATTGTCCTCACTCACTACTCAAGATCAGATGGCCGGTCAGAAAAGATCAGCAATAGGGATCTCTGGGAGCGAACCAACCAGGAACCGATTGTGAAACAAATAAGCAGGAAGAAATGGAAGTGGATTGTAGGCCATACTCTGAGAAAACAAACCATCAAGTGACATCACACACCAGGCTCTCTCTCGAGTGGAACTCGAATGGAAAGCAGTGAATTGGTCATCAGTGTGAAGATGACATAGAGGAGGTCATGTGAAGAAGAGATGAAAGCATGTGGGCAGACGTGGAGCCAGGGGTGAACGTTGGCGGAGAACCGAACGCAATGGAGACGTGCGGTTGAAGACCTATGTTCCTTTAGGAACTAAAGGTAACAATAATAATATCTTCAAATCACCATTTGCACAGATCTTCCCTGTTGTGCTACTTCTGACCTTCATATTGTGTTTCTTTGTGTTCCTTTCACGTCTCCTATGCATCTCCGCAACGTTGTATCATTTGCTTTCACTGACATCAAATATATCTACCTACTATTTGATGTTTTTTATGTCTATGAACATCTCGTTATATACTGCTGATAAATCTTATCAGTAGCACACACCACAGTAGCTGCTGTCAGTCTTCTCGTATGATTTTTCAAAATTGCATAGCTCATCGATTTAAGCAACACATTTTCATCGCATATATTCCAGGTTCAAATAGAGCTCCACCTACTTTATGCTTTCCAAGAAACGAGTAGCCTCATGTATCATAAGCTCTCCATACTGAGTGTTTCATGGTGTAGTGGATAAAGGTGTTTATTACGTATTAGTGATTAATTTGAAATCATTTAATACAATTTAATTATTCTGCGCTATTCCAGTCGGCTAAAGAAGATCAATAAAACTACTTTCCTATTTCCTGACTTATGTCTTATGTAGTTTTCTTAAATAACAATAGTCTCATATATTGTTTGTTTCTTTTTATAGGTCCCAAGGAGTCGTCAAAACGGTCTTCCTCTGCTTTATCGATCCAGTTCAACATCAACCATATGGTTGCATGATTCAACTGTTACCAGACCAGATCCAAAGTCTACTGTTCGTGCATTAGCTCAGGCAATTTACCTACAGATAAAACACCGAGATCTTAGCAATGCTTGTGATCCTATAGTTGAAATCTTTGATGAATCTTTACATCCTATTCAGGTAAGCATGTTAATAGTCTCTAATTAATGCAAAGACGTCTATATATGTGTCCATTATTTTCATCAAGACAATGAGGTTAGGAGAAAGTGCATGCGAGGAAATCACCACTCTCTGCACTGTCCTTTTGCGAGGTACTTCCTAGTTATTTGAAGATACTTTACCTGCGTATCTTGTTATGCTGAAGTGCAATAGTCTTTACATTCTAATCTTCAAAAAGTTTCACTAATTAATTTTAATATCGCCAGTATTCAAAGGGTCAGCAGCCATGTATTTGTCAATTGTCAGTTTGCTACAAGTTGGCTGTTAGGGTATGGTGGGCAAAAGGATTTTAAAGCAGAACGTAAAAAGCATGCGGAACTTCTTGATATCCTTGGTTAACTTAATCAAATAGAACTGGTAATGTTGAAGAGAAAATTTCTGCGAATTCATCATATGCTCAAAAAAGTCAATGCTGAGATATGTTGACACCAAGCCTAAAGTCCGTGAGAGATGCTAACTGTATTGATATTTGAAATTTTGAGTCTTCTTAAGCAAAGCTTTCGATGTCAGTGTGTTACGAAGAAATAAAGAGCGTCGATATATCTCTATGGAACGCTGAGGGGGGAATGTTTTTGTACTACATGACTTGTTAATGTATTATCAGTTTGATTGGTCTGGTATTGCAAGTTGGTCTATTGTTTTTACCCTTTGTCGTTGCATTAGTTTCTAATGTCCTTTTTTAAGCCACACGTAAACACCGTATACTGTGACCTGAATAATTTGGTTGCCAAAGGAAACTACAGTGAAATTTCAACCTCCTCCCACTTTGAAATGGTGTACATTGCAAATTGTGGACCTGATTTATGGTGACACCGGTTCGCTCAAGTAGCTAGCCAGAATTCGTGTGTTTTGAACTGATTTGGATCTCTAAGCAGAATAAAAGCCGGGTATGCGGCATACTCGGCATACCCGGCCGCTGGTGAGCTTGGCTCCAAACGAGCGAAACGGCCGTCTGGTGTTTTTTTCCCTCACGTTCCCCAGTGGAACATAGGGCTTCAAGCTAGTGGCTTGAAGTTTCTGTAGCAATGTTTATTTTACAGGATGGGGTTGCTAGCCTCATGCCAAACTTTTCCTCTTCACCAGCATTATTTCTGGCTTAGCGAGGTAAAGGAGTGCGTTGGCGGCCAGGGATCGAACCCCGTACCATGTGCATGGTCGGCGAGTGCCCTAACCGCTATGCCACCGACGCCGTCTGGTGTTTAGATCATCTCAATCTGGCCTACAAGTACTATCGGTTCATATGATTGGTATACGACTACTCATTTTAAACATATCAGTAGTACATAGTTTTATGCAAATATGCTTTTGAGTTTATTTGTGAAGTATGTACTTAGGTTAAGCGTAGAAGTGCCTTTCATTTAAATATTTGGGATGATTATGACGAAGCGACTATTCTTCCCCCCCCCCCCCCTATTCGATGAATTCTACTCGAGACTGATAAAGTTCGGTATTAGATCGCTTTTGTTTTGTTTGTACTAGAGTTTTGTTCAACAGCTTCATTGTTTTCCTTCTTATTTGTTATTCATAGTGTTGTATAGTCTCCAAAGCTGCTACCTTGACGTGGTGGTCAAGCTTGAACACCGCAATGACCCAACAAGCTATACTGACTGGAACTTATGTTCCTGCAGGTCTTACCATGCCAGAAAGGTTGTTTGGATAGCGGTTAGACTAAAAGCAGTTACCCAATCCAATCCTATGACTTCAAACAAATCACAAAATATCATGCCGGATCGGTCGGGGCCCGGATTAACAACGACCGCGCTTTCTGCTGCCGTGTCACAGGGCAGAAGTGATAAATACGCTACTGAGACACACCAAATAAAAAACAAACACAGGCCGTGTGTGACCGGCCTCAAGCAGTTGTCCCCTGGGCTCTGCGGTCACGCAACCAACTTCCACGGTGTGGGCAGCCGGGAAGTAACAATCGCCCTCACAACCCGAAGAGCACGCGAAACCTCTGTATAGTCTCCATCTTTCATTTTTCTCCCAATCATTTCCCAATAACATTCGAAGTTTGAGGCCAAGATTAGTTTTATAGGCGTATAAATTCACGTGTATGTTTTATTTCTTCCTTAGTCAGCTGAATATCATGACTACTGGGATTGTCTCACACTCCTTTACTAAATAACGTGTTCTAAAAGTTTAGAAAAAATGAAGTAAAAGTCATATTTCATTCAGTTGTAAAATTGTCATGTTGATCGACATGAGTTCAAAAATAAATGATTTCATATAATCGCCGTGTTATACCTGTCTATACTGACATGTTAGTGTATATGCGTAATACAGAGTACATTACAGGGATTGCACTATTATTTCATATACTGCTCAGCAGTTCGCTCTGTCCTCCTGTATGGCTGTGAGATATGACCCATTGAAAGTGGAAGACATGACAAGGCTAGCTAGCTGTCTTTGATCATAGGTGCCTGCGTTCTATCTCCTATGTTAGGTGGTATAACAAGGTGAGCAATATTGAGGTTAGGCGTCGATCGAGTGCTAGGTAGGTGGGAGGGGAAATCAATCGATGAGGTTGTGAAGCTGCATCAATTGAGATGGTTAGGACATGTGTTACGCATGCCTAGTCATCGCCTTCCTCGACGGCTAATGTTAGCTGATATAGGATGGATCAGGTTGGAAAAGAGCTAGTGGTGGTCAAACCAAAACATGGCTTTATCAGTCAATGAAATCCACGTAGGGAGGTGTAGACTAGCCTCCTGGTTTGGGTCCTCGAGATGGTAAGAACCAATGAAGGCTGGAGACAATCAGTGATATGGCTCAAAATCTTTCTCAATGGCTGGCGCAGATGCATTCACTCTTTGTGATTTGTCATATTCAATAAAACTCCATTGTTTTTCTGTATTACTATTCTTTTTGTCGTACAAGGAGTGAGTGTGGCAAGTAGAACTGCTGCACATCTGTGCAAATTTCTACGTTGAATCCACTCAGTCAGTCAGTCACTGTTTATCACGGTGTTCACTATTGGTTTCATACATTCCATTTTTATCTTTCTTCTTGCATAATTCACACTTTCGGATTCTACAATGTTTTTTTTTTCAGTAGAGTTAAAAGAAACACTTATTTCAAGGAGTTATAGTAGTCCGCCCACTGCATATATGAAGTAGTTTTGATATGTATGTATACACATATATTTCAGAAAAATTGCTAATTATAGTAATACAACAAACAACCAAAGATATATGATGATTTATTGTCAACAATTTCTGATGCTAACTCGCGAATTCTGTAAACAATTACTATTTTTTTCATAGTCATTCCTATATTTGCTTCAGTGGACAATATCAAAACACTTTCTCAAATTTTTTACATGATAGCCAGTTTTCAATTGAAAACAGCATTTGTAATCTTAGTTCAGTTGTAATAATGCATTATATCTAAACTTTCAGCTCACAATAACAAAGAACTGTCAAGAAGACGATAGTGAATTCTAATCTAAAGATTTCGTCAAACACGCTCCGTGAAAGTTTTTCTGATAAAGCATCTGGTGATCATGTGGTGTATGTCACATCTATACTATACCATAGGCGTAAAAATTTCATAAAAGTGCTCAGTTAATCTAACAAACTATTAGCAAGTCGAATAACTTAAAATCATAATAATAATAATCATGTATTATTATTATTATGATGATTACTCCTTTCGGTCCCGAGTGGAACATAAGGCTTTAACGACACATCTCCATTTCATCCTGTTTTCTGTAATCCTCTTTATCTGGCTCCACGATTGTCCATAAGTTGTCATCTTCTCCTCACATGATCCCCTCCATGTCACCATCCATTTGGGTTCCACTGGAGAGCCTGACGCCCGATGTTATTCAGCGGTCTCCATTGAGTATGTCCAATCCATCTCCATTTTCTTTGGTATATTTGTTGAGCAATAGGTTCTTGGTGGGTTCTTTACGGGAGTTCCTTGTTGCTAATCCTTACCGATGATTGGGCAACTGATCTTCAGTGTGGGGCCTGTTGGAAAAGATTTGTGGTGACCGGTGTTCCAAGTCTCTGGACCATATAGAAGAAGTGACTTGACACTAGTGTTGAAAATCATGTATTATACCGTCTGATAATGAATTGTCTGCTGAAAAGGACAAAATTGGCAATTTGACTTTACTATCCTCAGTTAAATATAGAAAGGAGGGGTTGAATTAGTTATTCATACGTAATCTGAAGCTTTGGAAAGAAGGAAAAAATAATTTCTCATGGAGAGAGAGAGTCTGTCAGAAATCTAAAGCACATCCATCATCATTCCGTCTTAAAAAATTATTCTAAAAATGTCAAGTGTTGTCTAAAAATTTAAAAAAAAATTAGGAGTACGATTACGATGAGAGTGAAGATGTGAAGTGAAGTGGAAAGAATTCAAGTGGTAAAATAAAATAAAGTAAAAACTAGAAAGAACATTACTATGACCAAGGTAAGGAAAAGGGTTTGACAAAACGCTTTGAATACATAATTTAGGCTTCTGTTCATGTATAGCTAAAGCTTCGGCCATGCATAAGTGAAGAAAACGTAAACTTTTGGATCGATTCGATTTTGCTATGTAGATAACTTTGAAAGATGAATCACGTGGGGCTAAATGACCTGACTCTAACAGGTGATCACAAATAGACGACTTCATAGTTCTACGTTCGCCTTTCATTAACCAGAGTGAACGTTGTAAGCATAATCTCCGAAAACGTGTAGCTGAACACTATCCAGTCTGGTTAATGAAAGGCGAACGTAGAACTGCGAAGTCGTCTATTTGTGATCACCTGTTAGAGTCAGGTCATTTAGCCCCACGTGATTCATCTTTCAAAGTTATCTACATAGCAAAATCGAATCGATCCAAAAGTTTACGTTTTCTTCACTTATGCATGGCCGAAGCTTTAGCTATACATGAACAGAAACCTAAATTATGTGTTCAAAAACGTTTTGTCAAACCCCTTTCTTTACCTTGATCATAGTAATGTTCTTTCTAGTTTTTACTTTATTTTATTTTACCACTTGAATTCTTTCCACTTCACTTCACATCTTCATTCTTTTCGTAATCGTAGTCCTAATTCTTTTTTAAATTATTCGTTTATTCATCTAGTAATTGCGCAGAAAATTTATGCTTTACGCCGTTCCTTACAAATAAATCGTCACTTACAGTTTTTTTCAATCTAAGCAAGTCATAAGTCATTGGTATTCTGTTTGAAAAAGCATTTCTTTGAAACCTCACTGTGTATGCAAGGTGATAAGTTTCTAAGAAACAGATTGTTTCGAAGATATTTAGTAACAACTACCACTACTGTTGTTGTTGTTGTTTCAAACATTGTTCAGAGCTTCTATAAATGAGTGTTACTCATAATCTCTAACTATTACACATTATTATTATTTATTATTGTTTCCTTTAATTCCTAGAGGAACATAGGGCTTCAGCCGTGCGTCTCCATTGCGTTCGGTTCTCTGCTAGAGTTTTCATCTGGCTCCAAGTCTGCCCACATGCTTTCATCTCCTCTTCACATGACCTCCTCCAAGTCACCCTTGCACTGACGACCAACTCGCCGCTTCCCTTTTGGGTTCCACTCGAGCAATGGCTTGTCTAGTGATGTCACTTGATGGTTTGTCTTCTCAGAGTATGGCCAGACAATCCACCTACATTTCTTTCTGCTCATTTGTTGCACAATCGGTTCCTGGTTGGTTTGCTCCCAGAGATCCCTCCCTGTTGCTGATCTTTTCTGGCCATCTGATCTTGAAACTATTACACATTGCTTTTCAAAACTGGTATAGCAGTTATCACTGTAGTGATCAATAAGGAAAAAAAATAATGATCACACCCAGTTTGTTTATCCTTGATAACCATTTATGGTTAGATTTTCGGTGGAATTAATTTCAAGGTTTGTAAGAGGAAATAGTTAAAAAAGAAAACAGTTATCTATAATCGTTAATTTACTGATTAGTTTCAGTATGTCTTCTAACTGTTTTTTTAACTTCCCTTCTGTTTTTTTGTTTTGTTCACTTTGTTTTTTTTTTAGAATGAACCTGTCCCATTTGATTATACCACACGTGATCCAGATTTAAAAACAGTTTATCGTTTTATTCGAAATTTATTTCAAATGGCTCAACTTTCTCCAGAATGTGCAATAGTCACAATGGTATGTTGATAGTTTAGAACCATTTTTAATTGATGTATATATATATATACATATATATATATATATATATATATTGTGATGTTAGGTGGTTGAAGGTAGTCGGGTGGAAGCCTTGTATCTAGGTTTTGTGCTTGTTGACACTCATCAGCAAGGTGGATCTCCAACCTTTATGTAATTGCTATCCCCTCTTAAATCCGAATGAGCGTCACCTAGGACTGCAGTCAGCGGCGTTTCCACTGAGCTATTAGCGCTCACGATTGACTTCCTGGAGGATTGTAATGTATCCGTTGATCGGTCATTAGAGAGTAGACAATGTTATGCATCTATCACTTGGTATTGATTTTGACTGGATTCTATCAGCCAAGTTCGCAATTGTTTTATATAGCTATCTTTTTTAATTTTCTTCGCGCGTGAAATAAAATATGTATAAATCCAAGTTCAATTCGTTTTGCAACATTGGTAAACAGATGTTTTAGTACAGAATACATTGAAAGAACACAGTTCTACTAGCCTACTATGAAAAATAAACAGAAAGTATACTAATGATGGGATAAAATTATAGGGTAATAAAGTAATGTGGTAGAAGGAAGATAAATTATTAAGATTCATCTCTGAGAAAGCCGTGTCGGTAGAAGCAAAAATACAGCTCGTATTTGTAGCTGTTTTGCAAACAAAACACTTCGTAAGGTCGTGGCAGAAAGAACTAAGTAAAACATCGTAATACGAAATCACGCCACATATCACAAATAATTGACAGAAGTTAGAATTCATGGTCCACTGGGTTCCGTTCACGTGGCTAAATGGTCGACGGGCTGCTCGCCTGGTAAACCTGTAGGTCCTGCATCCCTATGGGACCTTGGTTGCGTACTTCTGAGGAGTCCAAAATTGGCATGAAACAGGCGTCTAGCACTCCTCTGTTTTCACTGTCTGTTTAATTCATGTGATAAAACTTGAAATCGACCAAAGTCACGGAAACCAATACTTGAAAATCGAGTGTTTGTCATCGGGTATATTCTCGTCAATTGATTTGAAATTCGTTCATGTATATCCAATATTTGTGCATATTTTCTTATATATGAGTCGTAAATTTCCCTTATACACTCTTTTATAGATTTATAAGTGTTACTTTTTATCTTTATTTTGTGTTAAATAACAGTTAAATAGTGCAATTTGTTTATGTAGTATCGCTTTTATACTGTTAGATTGCCCTGTATCAATTTAAATGGGTTGGACAGAGTTTGAAGTTCAGTATATTGCCAAGAGGTATCGTTTTCATACTTAGAAGCTTATTGGTGAAAGACAATATATTTGACACACTTAGGGTTCTAGATATTTGGATATCTATTTCGTAATAATGACTCTTCTCATAATTCCGGGATTCTTGCGTTAATCAATTGACTGTTGTACCTAATCTATTCATAGAAATGTATGACATGTTCCAGTTGTAATTCATTTTAATTTATGTATGAGTTCACTCTTGGAAAGTGTTGTCATTGTTCCCCCTTAATCTCCCACTGGCTACTTAAGATTTTGCTACATTGTGAAGGGTACTGAAAAGCTGTCGGTAAGGCGGAAGTGGATTGTTGCCTAACCAACTCGTTACTGCTATTGTGGACAGACATTTGAACTCACGCAAGAAATTGGTGCATATCGTGTTGTCGAAATCTGAGTATCCTCTTTATACACAAATCTCCTCTTGCATCATCTCCTCAGGTAGTCTATCTGTCTGTCTGTTTTCGACATAGAACTTTGCACTGATGTGCAGCAGTTCAAGTCGCCACACTCCATGTAGCACACAAAGCAAGAAAAAGTAGAAGAAATGAATAATAAAAACAGTAGACAGGGATATGAGACAAAAGAAGTAGTAATAACAAAAACAGCAGTTTCATTGGATATTATAAATCACAAGGAGTGGATGCATCTACGCCCGCCATTGAGAAAGATTTTGAGCCATATCACTGATTGTTTCCAGCCTTCATTGGTTATTACCATCTCGAGGACTCCAACCAGGAGGTTAGTCTACACCTCCCTACGTGAATTTCATTGACTGATGAAGCCATGTTTTGGTTTGACCACCACTAGCTCTTTCCCAACCTGATCCATCCCATATCAGCTAACATTAGTCGTCAAGGAAGGCGATGACTAGGCATGCGTAACACACAGCCTGACCATCTCAATCGATGTAGCTTCACAGCCTTATCGATTGATTTCCCCTCCCACCTATCTAGCACTCAATCGACGCCTAACTTCAATATTGCTCACCTTGTTGTACCACCTAACATAGGAGATAGAAGGCAGGCACCTATGACCAAAGACAGCTTGTTAGCCTTTTCATGTCTTCGTCTTATCTCACAGTCACAGAGGAGGACAGAGCGGACTGCTGACCAGTACACCCGCCCTTTGGTCGATAGCTGGATATCACATCTCATCAGGTAGGATTGGAATCAGTTATTATAAAGACTTTATGCTCTAGTGACTAAGTAAGTATAAAAACTCTGCGACACCTTATTTGGCAAGCATTTTATTCAATAAGAAAAGCCTTAGGTATGAAACTGCTAACTTATTTGAAAAACACTAATATATCATTGTCAATTTTCATACCTAGTTTCAACTTAACATTCTTATTTTTATTGATATCCTTAATGATGTAAATGCCTGGTAAATCATTTCACCCCTTAGTATGATGCAATATTGTATCACATGCTGAAAATTCCACCTTATATCAAGTGTACTGTTTGGAATGAAGCCACTATTATTATTATTAGTATAACTAGAAAATTTGAAAATGAATTAGCCTATTCATAATAATATTTGCCAAATTTCTACTGTTAACAAACCAGGATAAATTTGAAACCCTTATTCTAAATGCTTTATTAAATAGGATGTGTTTAATGCAACATATCATTAAAATGCTTGTGTACACACACTTGCATTGGCGTATACCTACCCACCACTTGGAACTTTATAATTTTAAAACTCATTAGGAAAAATGCTTTCACGTGGTTTGCTACTGTTTCGTTTACTTTATAGGTCTACTTAGAACGCCTTCTAACTAGCGCTGAGACAGAATTGACACCCAGTACATGGAAAAGGATCGTTCTATGCGCTATAGTACTGGCTAGTAAAGTGTGGGATGATCAAGCAGTTTGGAATGTGGATTATTGTCAAATTCTCAAAGATATGCAAGTGGATGATGTGTAAGTTTTTGCTTTTAATACTGGGCATTATTCCATTGGTTATAAATTTAGTTCCTCTTCTTTTTTTTTGTTGATCAGCTTAACACAATATTCCTTCATTGAACTGATGGGATTCATCAGAATCTGTTTTCGATCGTAGGTATTTGCGTTCTACCTCCCGTTCAAATGTTTAACATTTTGAGAAGTATTCAGATTAGGCATAGAGTGTTAGGTAAGGAAGAGAAGCCAATCTACGAGGTTGTGAAGCTACACCGATTGAGGCCGTTAAGACACACGTAGTGCATCCCCCGAGCCGTCGCCTTCCTCGCCAAGTAATCTTAGCCGACATACCATTAGGTCGGGAAAGAATTAGAGGTAGTCAAACCAAAACCTCATATTAATCCATGAAATCGTTGACTGTTAGTTTGAGCTACGTAGGGAAGTGTAGACTACTAAGTGGTTGGGGTGTTCAGGATGTTAAGAACCAATGGCTGGAGACTATTGGAGACATGGCTCAAAATCGCAGTTGATAGTGCAGATTTATTCACTCTTTGTGATTTCCTACATGCATTAAACTCTTTCTCCTTTACATTTATGCTTATTATAGTACTTTCGAATCCCTTTTCTTTCTTTTTTACTTACCTTTGTGTGGTACGTGGAGTGTAGCAACTTGGACTTCTGTACTTCTGTGCAAAGTTTATACACAATCTTAAAACTCTAAACTGTTATTCAATCCTACGACCCATGAAATGTTTCGACTATTCGAATATATTCCCTGTCTATATCTCTCTGATAATAGTTAAACTGTTAAAGGGTTCAAGTGGAGAAAATCGTACATTATAGCTTTATGTCATTATAATTGGTGGAAGCGTCGCAATTGTTAATTTATAAAATTTTTGCTGCACTGTAAATTACAGCTTTAAGAAATTGCTATGCAGATGTGGCTTATTGGTTTAAGTACTCGACTACTAAACAGCTAGTAGGTCCCGAGTTCGAAGCCCACTCCACCTCCTGCAGCTTCGACAACTGGAGCAGTATTGTTGATTCGCATACACATAAGTGTTCCTCATAACCACCTAGTGCCTGAAAAATGTATTCTGAGCAACTCATTCTACCATACATGAGAAATATCTCTGAAATAACAGCTAGAATACTGAAACCGTTTGATATAGATACAGCACACAAGCCAGTCAAATCGCTTAATTCGATCTTATGCAAACCAAAAGATCCAACAGAAAAAGGGGACAAAATTAATACCATTTACAAAATAAATTGTATGAACTGTAACAAGCATTACATCGGCCAAAGTGGGCGTCCGCTTCGAATCAGAATCCAAGAATACAAATCAGCCGTGGAAAGACAATATATATGTTCTTTAGTATCAATGCATATAGACAATTATGGTCATCAATTTGATTGGGATCATGTCGAAATCTTAGACAGAGGAAACACTAAAAGTGCCAGGGAATTTCTAGAAGCCTGGTACTCAAACGAAAATGCAATTAACAAGCACGTTAATATAGACGAAATATACCAACTAATAAAAAGTAAATCAGGTGACCAGAAAGTTTAAAATCCAAGTCAATAGAAAATGGTCACTACATATGTAAAGATGGTTACCAGGAGACACAATTATATCACTCATGAAGAAATTTAAATCATTTCACTTTGTGCTAAATATGGCGCTGAAGATGTTGTCCAGAAGGACGACGTAAGCTTCGCAACTAAACCAACCAGCTCAGAGAACACTATTAATTGCATAACTGTGTTCTAGCTAACATTTCTGTCAAGAAGGCGGTTCCACGTTAAAACTTTCTTTACGGATCAGTAGCTTTCTGGTTCTTATTTTCTACTCCTTGTACGTTCGATAGTTAAATCAGTAACATTGTCTAATGTTGGAAATGTCATTTGATAAATGAAGTTTAGTATTCTTTGTGAAAGACGTTTAATCGTTTAGCTAAATAATACAATGCTATATATATGTATAGTCAAATGATCTTATTTCTACATAAATTTAAGTTGTTAAACAAGACATTGACGGCTTTATTATTTTTTTCATTGTTGCTTAAATCGTCATCAGTGTACTCATGTTAAAGTAACTGACGTGTGTGTGTGTGTGTGTAAGAGACGTTGAGGAATGACAAACCTATCTGTCTTTACAATGTCGTCTTTAGCTTTGTCATATATTATCTCATTTCACTTCAAGTCCCTGGAGGTTTTAAAAGCTTTTCTGTTAAAAAAAAACACCCCACTGTATCATGATAACATTCTGATCATATTCAACTCATCAGTTTACCATAATTTTTCTTTTGCTCCAGGAAGTTTCTCATCTTCATACAACACACTTTGAAATGTATTAATTAGGAGAGCGAATGACTTTCAGCTGTGATAACCTTGGATTTATATTGTGCAAAAAAAAATCATCACGAGAATGACCTAATAACGCAAAAACAACAACTAGAAAATACTCGAAATTCTTTTTGTTACATAGTTTTCAGTGTATAGTTTAAGTAGACAAAAATATTACCAAGTCTAGTTGTATGAATGTAGTATATAAGCAACCCTGTCTCTTAGAAATGGCGGAACTGGTATTATTAGCTTTTTAAAAAAGCGAGATAATTACGAAGAAATTAAGAAAATCAGTTCAAACAACTTTTAATGCTGGCGAGCTACATGTATTATTCTCTACACCACCGATGGTGCTACCTCGACTGAAAGATGAAGTACCTAGACTAGCCACTTCAAATCGTATCTACCAATTCAACTGCGCTTGTGGAGCGAGTTATATTGGCCGTTGCTCTAGGAACTTGATTTTTCGTGCTCGAGAACATATCCCACTATGGCTAAGTAAAGGTTTAGTTAAAACTATTAACAGTTCGGTATTGGACCATCTGGTGCAAACTGGCCACAAAGCCAGCGTAGAAGAGTCCTTCTCTATAATCTATCGGGTGCCTAATAAATTGCCAAAATCATCGAAGCACCGCATGCTCCAAACAGCAGAGACTATTGCAATTTGCCTCAAACAACCAGTGCTCTGTGTTCAAAAGAAGCAAGTACAGCCAGCCACTACTACTGCCCTGGTCTTCAGTAGAGACTATAAATTCATGAATTTGTACTATTATCTTTCATAATTCTTCTGACATTCAGCTTATTTTATGTTGATGCTATTGAGCTGTAATCTATCGGTATTATTGATTTTATGTTATTTAAACATTAGTGTCGATCATAAGACTAATTCATTCATTCATTATAATGTATATATAATTGTAGAACCTGATGATGAATTTATCGAAAAGAGTACTCTTTGTTCCGTGTCCATTCTTTTAAAAAAGAGACAACCAGAGCATATATTGGGACCACTAAAAGACACCGAGTACTAGAAAGCTTCATCAGTCTTGATTTGTGAACCCTCTTTAGCAGTGACATAAGATTCTAACAAAAATTGAACTCAGGCATCTTCTATTGGTTTGTGTTTCATGTCGACCTTTTCTCAACCTTTCTCCCCATAAATCCCTATCTGATACAGTACAATTTGGTTTTTCTGATATCAAGTACATACAGTTTGTTCACATGAAATCGATCTTTCTGAAATGGTAATATTCGAAGGGATTATCTTCTCAGCTCATTTTGACAGTCCAATGTACTCACTAAACCATAGCGTAAAGAGGACGCACTTAACACGTTGACATAAATGTCATCGGAATGATTATTTTATGGTTGATCTGTTTTTTTCTTAATTGTCTTTTCTCCAACCATCTTGGTAACAGTACGATAAAAAAATACCATAATGACTACCAAGAATGAATTCTAATCAGTCAGATATTCAGTGCAGTCACCAAAACGAAAGATTCGGTGGAGATTTGTACTTTGAATTGAAATCAATCGATAGGAAGTATTTACAATCGTTGAACAAGTTGATTACTGCAAGAGTTATTGAAAGGGGATAATACCTTTTTCGAATCCCACAGGAGGATATCAGTTTCAGGTTTCAGAATATGCCTTGTCGATGACAGGAGTGTCATTAAGCATTGCTATCTAGATTCAAAGCTTCTTACCGGCCGACAACTGCTACCTTGTCGTGGTGGTCGGGCTTGAATACCACAGTGACCCAACAACAAGCTAAACTGGCTGGGACTCATGTTCCTGCATGTCCTACCATGTCAGGAAGGTTGTTTGGACAGCGGTTAGACTAAAAGCAGTTACCATGGGGTACATGGGCTCCAGAATCCAATCGGATCAAATGGCATACGAACCGATATTGGTCACCGGCAGCCATGGGAATGCAGCTCCTGACGCTACTCCACTGCCTTGCGGATTTGACTCCAAGTCAAAGGCTCGGGGGGTGGCCCCTTATTTATTTATTTATTTAAACGCAGAAAAACTTGGTACAATATGGCACCAAGAAAGATGCGCCACACAATAATAATAAAACAACATAGATTAAAAGTAAAAATATAGGTAGAAAACGAATAAAGAACTTCATCAGGAAGGAAAACAGTCATGTTTAACAAGTTCAAACAGTATTCGTTAACTATCATCAGGAAGGGAAGAAAGAAGGAAAGTGCAGCACGTTCGCCATTGATTACGATTCTTGGCCATATCCGATAACGTTTCGAGCCATCGATTTGAGCTATCTCGCGGACCCCAACCAGGGAGTCGTGACACACCAACCGATGCTAATCTAGCATAAATATCCTTCATCCCACGACGCCATGTCATGGACTAACCACCCCTCCGCCTTTTCCATCCCGTCCCAAGCGGTTCACCCGCAAGAGTGAGTGCAGGTACAGGCTCCTGCCAATCTTGTAACAGTACTTTGCACTTAGACGGTGCAAAGCACATACCATACTTACAGACACTGATCGCCAACTGATTAAGTGCGATTCGGGCAGCCTGCATGCTATCGCACAGTAAGACGATATCGTCTGCATACTCGAGGTCGAAAAGTCTATCTCCAGGTAGCAGATCTACACCACCTTCACGCACATCCTTCAGAGCTGACTCTAGAATGTCATCGATGG